CACACCTGATTTTAGTAAGGTAATAAATTGAAAGAATAACACACAAAAGTAGGCTACAGCTAAAGCAATTACGACCAGGGCCATTTATGAAATAATGGATAGTTTTGCGCAAGGTTTCTCGTCATGACCATGACGAACATTTTAAATATATGGTTTATGGTGGTGTGACTTGTAGTTTTCTCAAAAGTTCATGGGTACTTTGGGCTTTATATATGGATATTGGTGTCGTCCTGTAACCCAGCCACTTGGAGGCCACAAATTGTGGATATTTATAGGCATGCACTGTGGATGTGATACTCCCTGGTGTGGATTAAAGTCCACACTAGTGAGTACTACCACGATCCGCAGTGCTATCCTGATAATTAGAGCAATTTGTTAATTACAAGGCAAAAATGTGGTTCGGATTCCACATATACTGTAGGTCCCTTGGTTGCCATTGGCTGTATGAGATATTATAACAGCTGTGTCTAAGAAACATGTCGGCCTTAGTCACCAACAAAAGTACAAGATTGTGCCACTCATCCTACTTTCATCTCCATTGGCTTAAAATACCTACATTTATATGTTCGCCATTTCAGAATCTGTATACTTATGCGCAAGCAGGGTTTTTGTGACAATTACTCCTCCGAAACTAATAAACCGATTGACATGTTTTTGGTGTCATTGGAAAGAGCGTAACGTGAAGTTGTGCAGGAAACTTTGTTGTTTGAGCAGGATGAGGAAATTAATGTTGTGGTTGCCTCTAATCCTTTACTTCACGAAGAAGCCTTCCATCCGGCCCTCGAATTCGAGTTAATTCTTGACTGTTTGAAAGTTGATAAGCAAGATATGCTCTTTCGTGATCTTAGACAGTGCAACATTGACAACGTCAGAGCCTGGCTTGCGTCTCTGAATTACCCTGACCCCAGCTGTCCGGACATTGAGGCCTACTTCAACAGGTTTTGTTTAGATATGGGAAATTCTATTGAGGAAAATTCTCCCGTAAGAAGAAGAAATAAGTCCACATATCCTCGATGGTTTACCCCGGAACGTAGACGCTTGATTTCAAGGATAAAATCGCTTCACCGAAACTACAAGGCTTCTCTTGCTGACTGTGATTATGAAGCTTTTAGAGTCATCAGACAACAGTGCAAATCTCTTGCCAGCGCTTGCCAAAATGAGTTTTTTGTAACAATCAACAATAGCATCAAGGAGAACCCTCGATCTTTCTGGGGTCATATGAATTCCTTAAGAAAGACTGACAATGTACCCAGTAAACTTCATTATGGCTCAGTCTCAACTGATGAACCCCAGGGTATGTGTGATTTATTCTCTGATTATTTCTCGACCATCTACTCTCCACATGCCGATTGCCATGCTGACTACAATTATGAATCCAACATCAACCTTTCGTCCTGTCTCTTCTTGGCTACTGAGATTGAAAGAAAGCTACAGGACCTTGATGCCTCCAAGGGACCTGGACCGGATGGCATAACTCCGGCTGTTGTGAAGTCATGCAGCGATCTTCTTGCCCCTCATCTAACTATTTATTTCAACAAGCTGCTGAGTGGTGGTACTTTTCCGAAATCGATGAAGTCTGGCTATCTCGTACCAATTCATAAATCCGGATCTACATCTAAAGTAACAAATTACCGTCCTATCGTGATTCAGTCAGTGATTGCTAAGGTCTTTGAAAGTTTTATCCTGGACGTATTATCCTTTAAATTCAAGAATGTCTTCATTCCACAGCAACATGGCTTTCGCCCTGAGAAATCAACGACTACCAATCTTTGTGTCTTCAGTGAGAGTGTTGTTTCCTCCATCTCTCGATTCCACCAAGTTGACTGCCTGTATCTGGACTTCGCAAAGGCTTTCGATAGGGTCAGCCATAGCCATCTGATAGCTAAATTAAAGGTATATGGAATTATTGGTCCTCTTCTCCAGTGGCTTCAAAGCTATCTAAGTGGCAGAACCCTTCAAGTCAAATTTGCATCATCACTCTCGAAGAATGTTGTGAGCGTAACATCAGGTGTGCCACAAGGGTCTCTTCTCGGCCCTCTTCTCTTCGGTCTATTCATAAATGATATTGGGGAGTCCCTAGTGTCCAACTTTCTTCTATTTGCCGATGATGTTAAAGTCTTGAAGGAGATTATTTCAATCCATCAACAACAAGAGCTTCAAGAAGATCTGGTTAAGATAGAACAGTGGTGTGATAGAAACGCTATGCAACTGAATGCTGACAAGTGTCAAGTAATGTCATTTGGAAGATCGAAAACTTTGCTGAACTTTGATTACTCTTTAAATGGCTTGATCCTGTGTAGAGTGACAGTGATTAAGGACTTGGGTTTGTATATGACACCATCCTTGGATCCAGGTGTACATATCACTAAGATTTGTGCTAAAGCAAACTCTCTATTGGGGTTCATTGCTCGCGCATCACGGAATGCCCTATCTCCTGCAACATTGAAGACCCTCTATGTGACTTTAGTTCGTCCCATCGTTGAATATGGATCTACTGTGTGGGCCCCACACCAGATTGGGCATTGTGACCACTTAAATAAAGTTCAGAGACGTTTCCTGCGTTTGGTGGTTGTTAGAAGTGGCATCCGTTATCCTGATGTGGATATACAAGAAATTTCAAACCAGCACCATATCCTTCCGCTGTCATCTAGACGACTGGCCCTTGACCAGTAAATGATGATTCCTATTATCCTTGATAATTCCTATTCAAGATTGTCAATGGTTATATCAATTGCCCTGAACTTCTACGTTGCATAGACCTTCACGTACCTGCTGGAACCCGCCTTCTACAACCTTTCTACAGGCACTCACATCAGACTGTCTACGCCTACCACAGTGTAATTCCATGTCTGCTGCGCTCTGGAAACTCTGCCCAACAGTTGGATTTCTTTGGTGAATCCCTTCAAAAGTTTCGAAGGCAAGTCTTCTCTTGGGTGGCTGAGCATGGAGGACATTAAGAGGAAGAGCTAACTTTGTTTGTTTTTCATGCTAGTCAATATTGTTATTCCTGTTCTTTTTCTTGGATTTTTGCCTTGTTAATTATTTGTCGATTTTTCATAGCGTACACTGTTAGCACAAACTTAGCATGTACAGTAGAATGCACTTTGGCATGTAGTATTTATTGATTTTCATAGCATGTAGCATGAACTATATTATTTCATAGCATGATTTTCATAGCATGTAGCATGAACTATATCATCACTGCTCTTAAATTCACTTTGTTCTATTTTGTCTTTGATGCTCTATTTTTGTGTTATTTCTGTGTCATATTATGTACCTGCAACTGAATCAACTTAAATGATTGAATCTAGTAGTATTATTGCATGTAAGCGGCTTGAAAGAAAAATGTATAATAATATTCTGTATACCTAATCAAACATATTTTGTAAAATGGCGATTGCCGTATGTACGAATAAATAAATAAATAAATAAACTTTCTTTTTAGGGAAATAATTAGAGAGTGAGGCCCTGGGGCCCTTTAAAGTTTTGTATTTCTCCATAAGATTAACAAGGGAAACAATCATCATTATGAAACTCCAGCTGTTGTCAGAAATTAAAAGTGAGAAGAAGAACATATGTTAATTGTAAAATTGTGACAAAGAGGTTATGCAGAAAATCAGGTAGTTAATGGTTATTAGGTGCTATTATAATAAAGACTGAAATTTGTAAACGTACTGGCGACAATGGGTGATACCATGCAGAATACATTATCATTGACAAAGACCAACATGGACAACCTATTGCGGCTATAAGTGGGAAAAATTTCTACAATACACAAACAAGCCAGATCAGCTTTTAAAAAATGATAAAATATTTACAAGAAATGTTGATTATATTGAACTGTTAAGTACATTGTGAGTATTATCATTATAGTTACGTAATCTTTGTGTTGACTCTTTTAAACCCATCGGAATTTATGACTTATATTTGTTCTTAAATAAGTTATTTGTTTTTAATTAACTCCTTTACTTCTTTGCGATTGCTCGATTTCGAGCAACATTAACACTAGTAAAGTATTAATGTATTAAGTATGCTTTCTGGCAAAATATTTAATGTCAAATAGTAAAATAGCCCCGCCGCAGCAAACCTGCCGACTAAGCAAATTTCCATCTGCCTGAATTGATTTTAAATTAAATCTATTTAATTAACATTAGGTTTAACGAGTACCTAGGTTTGTTGTTACAGGGAAACTAATAAACAATTTTTTTTAGTAAAATATTAATAGCTTGGTATAAAATAAATAAATTTACCAAGTTTTATCAAAATATATCCATAAACATGCAAACTAAATTTTACAATATTCTCCAGAAGAATAACATGGGAACTTTCAATTTAAAATTCTTTGAATTTTTTCCGTTACTAATAACCGTACAAAAACACTTTGATATACTAAATTATTTGTTTTTTTAAGCTCTAAAAAGTTCTAGAGAGAAATTGGGAAATTTTGTATGTGAGGGTCAAAAATGATAAAAACCAATTTTTACCCAATAAGACCCCCAGTAAACAGTAAAACCCCGTTCCCATGGTCTGATCATGCTGGTTTGCGAACTCATTCAAGTTTATCGTGCCTTACACCTTCAAACCGAATTTCATCAAAATCGGAAAAAATTTACTCAAGTTTTCGCGGTCACGGACACATATATGATATATATACATATATATATACAAATTTGAACGAATGGTGTTTTTGGCCTCTGGGGACATCGAAATGAAAGAGTAAATGGGTCCCAGGCCTAGGTCTTACCATGCCACCTACGGTAATAGCTACTTCCCTATAGGGAAATTTGCTAAAAGAGAATTTGGACCAATCTTTTACAAAAAGTGTAAAAACTTCCTACAGCCTTGGTAAAAAGTGAATAAAATAGAGAGCTCTACTGTAAAATATTTATTTGTAAATTAAATTTACATGTTTTTTTTACGTTTATTTAGTTTCAGACTTATAACCCATAACATCAATAATTATTGTTGTAACATTATATCAATTATTTGGTTTGTTTCAGCAAAAGCCGAAGTATCGGACGAGAAACTAGAAGAATTGCTAGAGCAAGGCAACTATGGTTCAATATTTAATAGTGATGTGAGTTGATCTTATTTCATTACATTTTTGTTCTTACTAGTCAAAAGTTGTTAGTGAAATATTATGTGTAACATTTATGTACCTATTATTGTATTGCGACCTCTGTCGCATTGAAAATATTAGTAGGCTACCTCTAATATAAAAATGCTTATATTTATGACCATGTTGAAATTTCTTGGTTTTGGCTCAGATTAGAACTTATTAGTTCGATACAAATGTAAATTTCATTTCTTTCTGTCTGTGATTTCCATTTCATACCACATCTGCTGGGTTGACTGAGATTTATTCAACAATATTTTTATACTTCTACAATAACATCTTTGATGTTTATATTTAGTTGTTGAATAAATTGATGAATTGCAGTAATTAAGTTAGATATTCTAAAACGTACCAGAAGATTTTCTGTTTTATTGTTTTCATCACCAGTTCTAGAACAATATTTTCAACTGACAATCTTTCATGATACGTCTCCCTAAACTTATATTAAATATGAGTTCTGGTGTTTTTTCCTTGTCACTTTAGATCTATCAATCACCAATCACTAACCTTGATTAACTCTAGACAAAATTTACTTAGTAATCAAACCACAAATTATATTTCAGATAATAACAGAGACTCAAGAAACTAAAAGACAGTTAGAAGACATCCACATTCGACATGAAGAACTTCTCCGACTTGAGAAGTCTATCTCAGAACTTCGGGACTTGTTTGTAGAGATGGCTATCTTAGTGGAGCAACAGGTGGGGAACTCTTCTCAAACTCTCTAAAGTTAGATTCCCTTTGTTGTTGCACATGCTACAACAACCAAAGCAATTGAATGTAATTCAAGGTTTTGAACCTGGAATTAAAAAAAAAAAACCTCGCCGCAGCAAACCTGCAAACTAAGCAAATTTCCATTTGCCTGATCGGATTTACACCAAAATGTCTCCTTAAAAATATCACATTTTCCATAAAAAGAATTAGTTTAACAACTAGTACTTAGGTTTGCTGCAACAGGGAGGGTAAAAAATTTTTTTATAAAATGTTAATAAGAAATATAATTAGTAAGAATAAATTAGTAAGAAATAAATGCATCTTCCAAATTTGATCAAAATATGTTCATAAACAAGTAAACTACAACAGTTTACAGAAGAATAACATGGGAATTTAAAATTTGTTGGAATTTTCTCCATAACCCTTAGGCGCATAATAACACTTCAACATAATAAAAATGGGAAACCCCCATTTTTACCCCATAAAACCCTCCATAAACCCCCGTCCCCATAGTCCGATCATGCTGGTTCATGAATTCGTTCTAATAAATGTAGGTTTACACGTTTATATACAATTTCATCAAAATCAGATCATTTTTGCTTGAGTTATCGTGCTAACGGACACGGATGGTGTTGAACGGATGGTGTTATTGGCCTCTAGGGACCTCAAAACAAAAAAGTTAATCGGTCCTGGGTCCAGGTCTTACCATGAGTACTATGGTAATAGCTTATTCCCTATGGGAAATTTGCTAAAAAAGATATAACCCTGAAGCTTACCCCTATAATACCTCTGGAAAAGAGATATTAATCCTAAAGTAATAAAAAGTGTCTTCAATAGATATTATGCAATGCATCCTTAAAGTACCATCCTTGTTAGTGAGTTTTCCCTATAGGTATGAAGCTAATACCATAGGAGGTACAGAAAGACCTAGACCCGGGACCGATTTACTATTTCATTTTGATAGCTTCAGAGGCCAAGATAATATTCGTTCAAATTTTATAAATATACTAGCTGTGTGCCCGTTCTACGCACGGGGATCTTATAGTGGTCAGTTTAAACCAAAGAATAGCAGTTAGTTTGCATATTTTCAGATATGCTGGCCAAACTATTATATATAAAAACAAATACAGTATCTTGACAGTTTTCAAGTAAAACAAAATGCTTTATAGATCTATGAGGCATAGCCCTAAACTAGGCCTATAATTGAAAGCTACTTTCCACAATGGTTAAAAGTAGTTAAAATACTACCTCAACCTCACCATTAAACATTCCGGTTGAAATTTTGATTTTCACTATCAAAGGTGCTCTTGTCCTGTCCGCACGGAACACAGAAATATGCGCTACCAACAGACATACACACAAAAATACAGAATTTAATTAGGGAATTTGCTACGCTTTAACCAAAGCAAAGTACATATACTTTAGTGTCACTTAACTTTATCATAACAATTTATATTGGCTTAGTCTGAAGATGACACAAAATGTTGTTGAAATGATGGCTTACTTTATGAAATGAAGTACTAAATACGATTTAGTTTAGTAATTTACAACACACAGGCCACGGCATATTGATACATAAACATCTTAAAGCGTAAACAATTCATGATGGTTTGCTCATCAAATGTTTTACTCAAATGCGTTTTCAATGTAAACATATGAGTGACAGCTAGAAAAAAATCTTGATCGTTCTAGCTGTTCGTTATTTCATAGATGATTATGAGAAAACCTAACAAAAATTGCACAAAATTGGGGTTTTAAACATCTGTAATTTACAAAGTAGTGAGGCCATATATTTATATATTTATAATAGCTAAATACACTCACGCCAATCAAGTGAAAAATAGATCTTGATAGGTACTATCGTTTTTCAGGAGAAGGCTGTGTAAAATGGCTCTTGGGCCGTGACAGACAGACAGACAGAAATTGAGATGAGACTTGTTTCGGCTTCTTTAATGTATAAAACTTGACCAGCTTTGGGGAGAGCTGGTCTAGTGGTTAGGGTGCAGGGCTCTGGTTCCTGGGGTCCCGGGTTCAAACCCCGCCAATTCACCAATGGATTTGATCTAAGTGATATTGCCGTAACCCCTAGGTCTAGCCTGAAGTAATGTGAAAAACAATTCCGGGCTCGTACCTGACATCCTAGGAAAAACAAAATGTATAAAACATAAAAGTTTTTGATTCTGAGCATTGTACAGACAAAACTCTAATTTAATTTATAATACATATCACATGTGTCTGTAAAAACGATAACTTGACTAATTTTGTTCCGATTTTGATGAAATTTGGCATGTATGTGTAGAGCTAGGTAAACTTGAATAAGTTTACAAACCAGCAAGTACAAGTCATGGGAACGTCATGGGAAGTTATAGGATTTTAAAGTGTTAAAATTTTTTATTTTTTCCCTTAAAACATGGGACTGCCCAGTGTTTATTACAACCATTATTACGAACCATGTAGTTCTTAAAAAACAAGCAATGAAGCATTGTTATAAATAAATAAAAACGTCTTTATTAGCCAGCGTTTCTCTGATACATATGAGTTTTTCAGAACAACTGTTGTCATTAAACTACTGTACTTACAACTATAAACAGTTATATCTTTTAAAAACTGTTTAAACTTAATCTTAAAGGTATTGTTGGATGCAACGGTTTTTAGGCTCTTGGGTAGTCCGTTGTACAATGTGGGTCCGAAATATGAGAAACTTTCCTTTCCCAATTCCAAGGTGACCCTTGGAAAGTGAAGCCTCCCACCATGACGTGTCCTATGTTGTATGATCTCATCCCGGACAGAAAGCCTCTCGCAAAGATAGTTAGGCTCATGGAGAGTCAGTACCCTGGGAGTCACGCAGCATGCCAAAAACCTGCACATGGCTTCCATGGGTAACATCCTGGCTACTTCACGGAAAGGAGAAACATGATCAAAATTTTTAAGGCAGAATACAAATCTGATTACTGAGCTTTGAATTCGCTGTATTCTGCCATAGACAAAAAGAATTAAATACAGACCGTCAGCTGTGCTGCAGTTACCATAGGTTCTCCCAGTGGTGTGCGCCACAACCTTTGGTAACTACTGCACGGCTTACAGTCTATCTTTAATTATTTTTGTCTATGATTCTGCACATGTCTTCTTCCTTAGTGATACTATTGCCATATGCATAGAGAAGCAGTAGTAGACTACTGACAATATCAGTGACTGCATGAGTTGAAGCTTTGCAGCCTCAGGCAGCATACCTCTGAACCTGTACAGACCTCTCAGTCTTCCTATTGCTTGTTGGGAGACATGCGTGATGTGATCTTTAAAATTCAAATTTCTGTCAATAATGACGCGAAGAGTTTTGGCTTTGTCACAGACCGCCAAACTTGTTGTACAATTAAAGGTTAGGGAGAAAATAAAAAAGCTGTACATTTAAAATTTCCATGTTATTCTTATGGAGAAATGGAAAATTATTACAGGTTCCTTGTTTATGGATGTATTTTGATCAAATTTATCTACTTCATCCTACACTATTAACATTTCATTGAAAAACACATTTTTCCTTCCCTGTAATTGCAAGCCTATAAGACCTCTTTATATCTAATGTTATTTAAATGGAGAATAAATATGACTTCTTTGTGGAAAATGACAAGTTGTGTTTTTATATAATGTCATATGTTTTACAGGGTGATCTCATAAATAGCATTGAACACCATGTTCTTGATGCGGGAGAAGCAGTAGAAACCGCCAAAGTTCAGACTAGGAAAGCGATACGTTATAAGGGCAAAGCAAGAAAGGTAATATTTATTAGACTGCAACAATGTTTCCTATAAATTATTATTAATCCTAAGAATTTAAAATATTACTTTTTTTCTCATGTTCTTTTTACAGAACAAAAACTAAATAGTTTTATGACCGCCAGCCTATTCTCATTTGATTATTCCTCTAACTCACTAATGTAAATTAATGTAACCAGTATGAGAATAAAGAATGCAAAAATTGACAGATTTGTCTGAAATTTGGTATCAACTATTAAATCTATAAGCTGTAGGTACCTTAGTTGCCATTAGCTGTATGAGCTATTAATTAATTTAACAGCTATGTCCAAGGAATATATGTCGGCCTTAGTCACTAACTAGACTACAAGATCGCGCCACTCATCCCCATTCATACTTGGCGTAAAATACCTACTTTGTATGGTCGCCATTTCAATGAAAAGTATTGAAGTATTAAATCTACTAGAAATTCTTATTAGTACTAATCATGACTAATAATTGTTGTTGAACTAAATAATAGACCTGAAACCTGAGGAGCTCTATCTACTGCTGGAGCCCTGTTATACCTGTTTTCCTAAAGATAAAAGCCCTGCTTCAAAATAGTTAAAATTTAAAAAAAGGATTTCTTGTTATCATTGTGTCCGTCTCAAATTGAGCCATCCTTTTAGTCTAGACAAATCACAAATAAATATTTTTTATTTTCCCAATCTTATATGTTGTAGACCAGAATTGTTTCCACATTACTTCAGGCTAGCTGTAGAAGGGGTCGTAGCATTATCACTTCGATAAAATCCATTGGGGATTGGTGGGATTTGAACCTAGGACCTCGGGGACCGAAGTCCCGCGCTCTACTACTAGACCACCTCGCTCCCCCATCAATAAATAGACGATAAAATGTATATTTACCACATTTGGGGTGATTTTATGTTTTTTTCTTTTGACTCAAAATGTTTTCATATTATAGAAAAAGCTCATCCTTCTTGGCTTGGCTGTGATACTGACCTTGATTCTGCTAGTCTACATATACTTCAGTTGGATCAAACCGTTTTTGGGAGACGGAGGGTCAACTAGTTCTAATGCAACTGCAAAGCCGAAGATATCCATCAATGAAGAACCTAAAATCACCACAACTGATAAACCGACCACAACCTTTCAGTTACCTACCGAAGATGACTGGACAACTACATCGGAAAACTTGATTACTTCAACTGGAAAAATCTTAAGTAGTTCCACAGAAAACTTAATTACCTCAACAGAACCACTTTAATTACTCACCTCTGATTTATGTAAGGTTGATAAATTTGATCTTAAAGTGCTAAGATTGTATTAACTTTTTTTTGAGCTTTCTAAAAAAAATGAAAGTCAGAGTATTTCACGAGTGATAAGCTATTATTTATGTACTACCTACTGTATATTATCTTAAGTTCCTTTGTTGTGTAAGACTACTGATCAATATGTGCTTCTCCTAATTATGTGTACCAATAGATCATCTTCATGAAAACTAATCAAGATACACATTCATGTTGTACAGTGTATTTTACAGTTCATTTTTGCCTGAAAAGGTAGTGGTGAAACATCATGATAGGTCCGTATTTGTAATTTAAAACACTTTTAAATAGAACTTTTTTGTGTAGTTAAAATGTAGAACTTTTTATAGGTTGTTGTGATTTTTGTAGATGTTACCGAAAAGCAATCTGTGATATGATTAGTACGGTACGGATATGCATCTTAACTATTTTACAGTGGAATACATTTGTTGTAGGCCTAATGACAATATGCCTTCTTTTTACAGAGCAAAACTCAATAAGAAAGTGTATAATTGTCATTTTCCTTTCAAATAATTTTATCTTATAAAATTCATAACATAGAATGTCCCTGGTTTACATCTTGATACAAGATCAAATGTTTTCAGATGAAACTGTTACAAAGACATAATTTGGATTATATCCCAAGTTTAGTCAGTTTAAAATATAGTATGATTAAGCTTATATGTAATAAATTTCACAAACATAACTACGTTTTTATAGGTTGTTCATAAAGTTGTATTTGGATGTATATAAAAGTTATTTATACAGTCAACAAAAATATTACGTTTGCCTTGCATTTATTGCTTATGTGTCACTTTGTGTGTTTACTAGTCTTCCTTGTTTTGTATTTATATGATTATGAAAGTGTATAAATAAATATGTAAATCACTTATGTCAAATGTTTTCTTTGACAAAATATTGTCCCCTTTCATTGCACTGGCATAGTACGCAACTTAAAAAGTTAATTTAGGGGTTATTCCTCATAGATTCGTTATCTTTAAGGGTTAGCTGCACCAATTTTCATGTGGATTTTCCTGTCAAACCACGTCATTGTCAACTATCTAAGTAATATTTTGTTCATGTAACTTTTTTGAGTGGGGTGAGCGAAGCTCTTATGTTACACTCCGTTTTTGTTTTCTGCATACTCCTAAACAACTGAAGCGATCTGCATGAAATTTAGCACAGTCACATAGTAACCAACTATGGGAAGTTGTAAATCTGTAATTGTTCAACTCGTCAAGTTTTCAAAACTAAAGGGATTTTCTCTACAGGAGTTAAAATATTTTTTAAATTTAACATGGGCTTTATGAGTTTGTTGGTCGCCATGGCATTATTTGCAAGATAACAATAAAAAGGTTAACAAAAGAGTCGTGACAAATGTTAGTCAAAGAATCATCTAAACATTACAAATACAGAACAAAAGTGATGAACAATCGGATTAATATCGTTGAGCATAATTTACTACAAAATTAATAACTAAATAAGGTCACCGGAATTAGGCCAATGCCCATTGACTTTAGATACTACAAATATGGGAACCAAATATACCATTGACTTTGGATACTGCAAATCTATATTATCCTTATATAAAATACGTGAAGGCGATTTCTACAAAACACTACTCCTCCGTTAATAATGGACGGATTTTTACAAACGACGTGTCAAAATAAAGTATTTTTTGTGTAGACACCCCCTTTCACTAATTCCTGTAATAAAAATCCACGGGCTTTGCCCCACAGGCCATCAAAATTTGAGTTTCTCCCATAAGATTAACATGGGTGAATCTAAATATTTAATTGGAAACTTTGTCCCCACTAATTTGAGAGAACGGCTGGGCATAGAAACTTGGTAGAGGTGTCCAAAGAAAGGTCTTGGTATATAGATGAGTTATCAAAAGAAAAATTAAGCAAAACCCCTTAGGACCTTGCCCCAGAAGCCTTTAAAGATCCCTCCACAGAGTTGTTTACATTTTGGCCATGTAAATAATACTTTTTAATGAAACAGCTGTTCATTTTTAAATTGTATTTCAAAGAGCACATATTTATTGGGAGTAACTGAGTTCTAGCAAATAAGTATTTGCAATGTTATTTTCTGATTTTAAAATTGATTTTCTTCTTTATCATGTCATGTTTTGCAATATAACGTTCCATTACAAAATCAATGGAAAATCCTTTTATCACAGCAATTCTTAAATTATTTCTTATGCAACTATCTTATATGTATTGTGCGGGTTGGTGTCTGCCTTTTTCACCACTTTTGCCTACATTTTATCATATTCTACACATATCAAATATTTATGTAGAAATATCTGCTCTTATCGTGTCTAATAAAATCCAAACAAAGAAACCTTGCCTAAAATGGTACCCATCTTGACAAATTATCTGCACCTGCCTTTATTACGGACTTTGGCGCACTGGGTTGGTGACATTATTGAAAATAACACGACATTTTAGCTGTAAAATATGGTACAAAGAGAAAATACTATTTAAGCAGCTACTGTCATAACAGAAAGGTCATATTTCTTTTAAACTAGATCACATAATCCTTTATAAGATACGTTGATTAACAATATGTAAACGTCAATATATACCGTACGTAAAAGCCAATTTACAGTATTTTTGCTTTTTATAAATGCCCATTGCTATGTCATTTGCATTATTTGTTGCCAATGAATCCGCCAAGACCATATAAACTAGGAGGCCCCTAACAGTTCAAGAATAAAAGCCAACTTTACTTCAAGTATTCCACTACACCTAACATTCCGTAGAGAGATTATATTGACAACTTTATGTTATTGATAAGGCTGAGACAACTAACTGACATCCCCCATGTCAAGGAATTCGAGCTTTAACAGTACCCCACAATCAATTTCTTTAAACTATGCTAGAGGTGTTCATTCATAGGTACAGAAGTACGATATGAACTGACGCGACGTGACAAAGGAAAATTCAAACTTACACTGTAACCGATATTCCTCCCTTTGAAGTTAGAATATGTCTTCCCAAAAAATATTTTCTTTTCAAATAAAATCATATTACACTGATGAAATCACAGAAGTGTTTAACTACAAAAGATCCACCAATACGATTTTAATACTATTTAAAGATTCTTCCAGAGGAAGAGATACCATATAACATACTAATAATAACTCCGATGACGTACATTATAGGAAATATTTTAATCATTGAATGATCAACCAAATTTGGCAACTAACGCAATTCATATCATTATTGTTTTTACACTTATTACTATTTAAACAATGCTAAATGCTCAAAATATGTATATTTCACCCAATTTATCGCAGTTATATTAACTTAAGCCTTGAAAGTAACCGTTGATTTCGACGGGTTTCACCTAGTATATATATAATACGTGAAGCCGTTTTTTGTTAACGCAACTCCTCCCTTATTTGTGGACCAATTTCAACGTTTAAAGTGTCAAAAGATTTGTCTCAATACGGTATGTAGTTTTTCAATAAGGTTTTAACATTTTAAAATTCCTACTCTTAACGGCGTGAGACCCTCTCAAAGGTCGGGGTTACCCCATAAGATATACACAAAACAAATTTAAAAACAAAAAAACAGCTGTTTATAAAAAGAAACTCATTAGCTTTTTGGGAGTAAATATTAATGTTTGTAATATTCAGTAGGTTAAGACCAAGTTAAACAGTTTATCAGTTTTGTTGGAAGAACAGAAATGCCTCAAGCTCAAAGAAGAAATATTGAAAACGGGAGGAGGAGACAATTAATAATAAGATATCTTATGCGTATGAGGAGAGTAGAAAAAGAGAGGCCTGATCTAACAGATACCCATCCAGATACAAATTCACTTGGTGAGATGAATAATATTTCGCAGGGTGGCTACTGCATCAGTAAATTTGACAGTTATGCTATGCAACTTACTTTGGAAGTGAAAAATATACGAAGCATATAGTGTTTTCACGTTGGTAAAGTAAACTTGCCTAATCACAGATCAAATGAATGCATGCAAGAATTGTTTACTTCTGACACTGACAGATCGAGAAATTTTAAAACATTTAGTAGAAACTATGATAATGCCTTGACTATAATAAGTTCAAGTAGTAAGATTATACCAAATCTTTGCGGGCCTTATGTTTTTATTGTAAACTTTTGTATTACTCGGTCTACTTCAATTGAGAAAAATGCAAATGGATTGTTTACTTCTAGTTTATGTTGCCCGTATATCTCTGACAAACTTATACAAAGTTTTTGGACAGAATTCACCAACACAATCCAGACATTTCAAGTCAAAAATAAGAAGTTTCAAAAACTCATTTGCTATTGAAAGTTTTAGTGGCAATATTAGACCAAACATAAGTGAAGGAATTAGTGTTTATGTATTTAACGATCGAGTAGCTACGTTCATATTTATTTTTATGATTCAGGAGAGGCAAATAATATACGCTTTTCAAAAAGAGAAAATGAAAATTGATTTCCAAATTTTATAGCTACAAGAGTTAGGGGAGAGCGGGGCTAAACCGTACACCCATTTTTTTGGCCCAGAATTCAAGCTAGGTGATCCCGACAAGTGCTGCTATCTAGCAGCAGAATGCGCAAGTTTACAGTATCTACATCGTTTTGCTATGTGTGATAGTTTCAATGTTTCAGTAAAAAAACATGTTTCTACTCACTTGCTTCTAATTTTCGTCCAGTACCAAATAAAAAGTTAGTGAAGTAGCTTTTATCGTAGTCTATTAACTGTGAGATAATAATAAACTACATCCCTTAAGCTCTCTTTTGGTTATTAGCGATGATTGGTTAAGTGATAGAATTTGAGTTTATGTTTATAAATTCCCACAAGGTATAGATTGGGGCTAAACCGTACAGCTCTGGTACAGGGTGCTGCTCATATTCAGGGTGGGTCTATTCAGCTTGCAGTGCTTTGGAGTCGGCAGAGAACTACATTTGTGGGCTTTTCCTTCTTTCTTTTAATTCTGGGATGAAATTTTATAACTTTTTCATAAACTTCATGTTTTTCATGAAGGTTGATTTTTTAAATGTAATTTCTTCTAAAATGTTTAAATTGTAATACACTGTTTCTTAACTACAACCTTTATATAGTAATAAATACCCCCGCCGCAGCAAACCTGCAGACTTAGCGAATTTCCATCTGCCTGATTGGATTCAAACTAAAATGTCTCCTTAAAAATATCACATTTATTCCCTATTCAAACAGAATTAGTTTAATGAGTACTTAGGTTTGCTGCAACAGGGAGGGTAAAAAAGTTTTTTTTAATGTAAAATATTAAAAGGTACTGTGGTTTGGTAAGAAATTAATGTATTTTCCAAATTTGATCAAAATATGTTCATAAACAAGCAAACTACAACAGTTGACTTATTCTCCATAAGAATAACATGGGAATTTTAAAATTACAATTTTTTTAAATTTTCTCCATAACAATTAGGCGCATAATAACGCTTCAATATACTAAATTATTTGTTTTTTTAAGCTCTACAAAATGGTTTAAAAAGAAATTGTGAAATTTTGTGTTTTTAGGGTCAAAAATGAGAAAACCCTATTTTTACCCCGTAAAACCCCCCATGAACCCCCGTTCCCATAGTCCGATCATGCTGGTTCGCGAACTCATTCGAGTTTATTCCGCCTTACACCTTCAAACCAAATTTTATCAAAATCGGACAAAAATTACTCAAGTTATCGTGCGGATGGACACATATATATATATATGAGTGAAAATTTAAAAACGTACGTTTTCAGGAAAAGCACTTTGCAAATTTGTTTCCACTTTTTTCAAAACTTTTATAATTTTTTTTATTTCATTAACATTTAAAGTTTCATAAAATGTCCATGGTAACGCAATATCTTTGGTAGTTTCTTTTAAAAGAGCAACTTTAGTGGAAAAACACAAAATCCTGTCACGACCATAACGGACGTTTAAATGAATATTAAAAATAGTTTATATTATTTTTATAACTATGTTTTTCTTTAAACTAATTTACTTTTATGACCATCTAATATATAAAATTCTCGTGTCACAGTGTTTGTCTGCAAACTCCTCCGGAACGACTTCACCGATCGTTATGAAATTTGGTGTGTAAATTCTGTAGGTATGCGAATCGGACGTAAACTATTTCCCGTTTCGAAATTCTTAAAAGGGCTCCGCCCCAGTGGCTCTGGAGTTTCCCATGTTAACCTTATGAGAAATGGAATTAATGAATCTTAACAGCTGTTTCAATTAAACAAGTTGGTTCTGTTCTATGATGTTCGATAGCATTAAAGTTACAAGGATTACCAACAGGGTGCAGCACTATTATTTCTTTTACATTTATGACAACAGCTAATTTGCAACCAAAAGGTGAGTGAGCGTAGCGAACGAACTTCAACCAGGACGTGATTGAGCGATGCGAACGAGATCATCTTGAAAATTAAACGTAACGGTACTTTCTTTCCATCGGTCTGTCTTAGGGGAAACCTATAACTTAGGCGATACGAAGTTCGCCGGTTCAGCTAGTTATACAATAAAAAGGTCACTGAGCTTTTGGTATATTTGGTCTTTCTAGAAAAAATAAAAAAAACTCAAAAAATTGAAAAAAAGCCAATAAAATCTTTTTAAGTTTGTATAACTCCGAAAAAACTTACCTGAGACCCGAAAAATCGTTATGTTTGTATAGAGGTGTGCTTCTTTTGTGTATAAAACATTGAAATATGACGATATTTTAATTTTTGAAATTTTTATGATAGAAATCATAAACGTGATGGTCAGGGACAAGCAGTATGGTCGTGAATTGTCTGGAATAATCTAAATCTTTCTAAACAATCCTTCAATTATCCTGTTAGTTATAATAAAAATATGTGTTTCAATTGAACTTAACTGTTTAATTTACAATTATATTAAAGTTATTGTCACGACCAAACACACTATAATCCATAAGGCTGGATTGGTCGTGAAAAAACGCGCGATGGTCGTGAAACTTTGGTCGTGAAATTACGTGTTATTTGGCTCTGTTCTGGTGGTAGCCCTGCACCTCATGTTCGAGGATACAAAGTGGACTTCTAGGTTAATCTAGCAATTGAAATATATTATAAACAAAAATTAACACCATGTCTACCTCATCGAATGACTACGTACGGTTATGGACACACCAAAATTACAAAAAACACAATCTTTCCTTTATTAACCTTGTAATTCCTCCTTTCAACTCGAAACGACCGGCACTACAATCCTGACGTACACCCCGAACTAGTCTCTAAAACCAACTGACTCCATCGACGCCAGGCTTGCCACTGTCGTGCTCCAAAGTTGAAAATTTTTCCCAAATGGTCGTGACGCCAAATCGAGGGACAGACTTATTTTGTCATGGTAGTCAGTTTGCAATGACAATAAATTTATAATATGCTCCTTTTTTGTAAGTTTAATAACTATTGATGACATAAAAATATGGCTTTATATATTTCGGCATGAATAATTAGTCTAAAAACAGCATGAAAGTTGGAAAATGTACCCTAGGGTCACGTCATGGTCGTGAATTTCGAGACTTTAAAAATACGGAAAAAATACCTAGAACCTATTTAAAACCAAATAAATGTGTGTAACATGTTGCCCCCGTCCCAAAAAATATTAAAACACATAATAATAAACTACAAATCCAGTATCTACGAAGTAAAAGGCCAGGGACATGAAAACGTATGTTTTTAAATTTTCACTCATATATATATATATATATATATATAGATATATAAAAATTTGAACGAATGGTGTTTTTGGCCTCTGGGGACATCAAAATGAAAAAGTAAATCGGTCCCGGGCTTAGGTCTTACCATGAGACCTACGGTAATAGCTACTTCCCTATAGGGAAATTCGCTAAAAGTGTTTATACAATAATTTGTTGCAGTACAATTATATTACTAACCTAAACAAATGATTTTTGAACTGTACGGTATAGCCCACCTTCTACTGTACGGAATAGCCCCACCCCCCGGGGGGGTGGTGCATACGATACTGCAAAACGGCATTCAATTTATATAATCCAAATATACTGTTGACATTGGATACTGCAAGTAGACAATAAATTAATTTATGAGAACCAGATGAAACATTGACTCTTTTTGTTACTGCAAGTAGACATTCCATTTTATGTGAACCAAATATACCATTTGGATATTGCAAATAGATTTCTCATTTATATAAACCAGATGTACCATTGGCTTTAGAGACTGCAAGTAAAGACCTCATTTACGAGAAACAGATAAAACCTTGACTTTGGATACTCCAAGTAGACATCCCATTTATGTAAAGCAGATGTATAATTGACTTTGGATACTGTAAGGAGATATCTCATTTACGTGAACTAGAGTTAGCATTGACTTATGATACTGCAAGTATACATCCCATTTACGGTAACCAGATGTAGCATTGCCTTTCGAAAAATATTGGATTAATATGCTAGCTCCGCTCAATAATGCAAGCAGACAACTGCATTGGACACCTAGTAAAAATTGGATCCAGAACAAACAATCTATTGTTCTAGGACTCTGATTAACGGGGGCACTTCTATTTCAGACTGTAAAATCAATCTCTAAGCGTGGGGCAAAATTCTTTAAGTCGGCATATTCTGGTCATCGTCAGGTTTACCAACAGGGCCTATTGCCTATTGGTAAACACAACTTAACGTTGGATCTCAGTTACATACCAATACTTCTCCTAAGAACCGATGGTACCGAGAGTTTCCTTCAAGTGCTGGACATATCACTTAATAATCAAAATTATGAAATGTTTGTATGAATATGGTTTATACTGTGAGGACAATCACCATGGAAAACAGACAAGGAATAAAGAGAATATCAAGTCAACTTCACATAAACTTTAATATTTAAAAATTTCCATTAACAGCAACAATGTAAGCATGAGATAGCACAACCCACAATGCGTATCAAAAGATAAACTATCAATAGAAAAATGAATAAATTACATAGTTAGAAAAATAACAAATACAGTATGATAATTTTAGATAGGATAGATGAGTCGTAAGCCTAACTATACACTAAGGGTTATCAAATTATTACAAGCGACTGGAAACGTTAAACTGGAACAATGTACTCGGTCATTAATGTTGTTAGTTTTATAGTACCGTATATCAAAATAAAATAGTCAAATCATCCATCACAACTGATTATTTCTACTCAAGTTAAAAACTATATAGTTTTTATTTACTATATAGAGAGCATTTATTTGGTTTAGGAACTCTAAAATACTGACTCTCTCACGACTAGAGTTCTATGTGATGTGGAAATATCGGTAAAAAAATATGAAAAGTACAAAAATACTGGCATCTGTCTTTATCCGTGAAAAAATAAATATTCTATTTAGGACCTGGGGAATCTTGCCTACTTTTTATATTTAACAGCTTTTGCAAGCTAAACAATTTGATAATTTTATAATACTTTATACATATCTACACCGGGATCTTGTGCAATGGTAACTTGTATCACAGGAACACCAACAAATAAACTAATCTGATCAGGTAAACAACAGCGTAAGATAACAACATTTAGAAATAGATTTAAAAGATAAAAAGTAGACAAGAGAGCAAATGAGGAGAAGGATTTAGCATCGTACAGCCTCGGGTGTGGAATGGAAGCGGCGATACACAGACTGTACGTAGGTGAAGACACATTTCCAGTCCGGCCGCCGCATCACAACCATGTCTTCTACATCTAGCAATGGAGCGATGTCAGCCTCCTCCCTATACACATACTCAACATATTAGCCCTGGGCTATTCTGGTTGAAACAAACTTAGATTAAATGTTAAGGATTTTCACACCCCTATATAAAGGGAAGAAAAACCAATCTATAATATATTGGAATACATTAGGTAAGATTTTATATGACCCACCATTTATTCTACATTTTTTTAAAATATACTGTATGTATAAGGTTGTCATCAGAATTACAGTTCAACCAAGTTGAGGTTTGATATCCATCTTGACATTTTGGCTGGTATATTGGATTTACTACACTAGAATTAACATAAATTATAAAACTATTTATTTTAAAAAACCTAAAAAAATTTTGTTTTAATTTATTTATTTATTCTAAAATGTCCTATCAAACAACTGCAAGTTCAAAGAGATTAAATAAAAAAATAATTAAAAATCATGAATTTAGTTGTGAGGTAGAATATGGCTAAGCTAGTCACGTTTGCCCCATTTTACAACTAAAAATCCTGATATTTCAGTTAATTTTTATTATATTTGTTTGAACTTGGTGTCATATGATAGGAAATTTTAAATCTATCTCTATCCATCTATACTAATAGCCCCACCGAAGCAAACCTGCCGACTAAGCGAATTCCCATTTGTCTGAATTGATTTTCAATTAAATCTATTTAAATAACATTAGGTTTAACGAGTGGTACCTAGGTTTGCTGCTACAAGGAAACTAATAAAGTGTTTTTTAGTAAAATATTAAAAGCTTATATAGTACAAAGATAAAAAATTTGCCAAGTTTGATCAGATATAACAAGCAAACAACAACATTTTACAATATTCTCCATAAGAATAACGAGTTTTAAATTTACAGTTTTGTGAATTTTCTCTGTTACCAAAAACCGTACAAAAACACTTTTATATACGGTACTAAGTTATTTGTTTGGATTAAGCTCTTTAAAGAGGTCTAGAGAGAAATTGGGAAATTTTGTCTTTTGAGGTTCAAAAATGAGAAAAACCATATATACTAAGCTATTAATTAAAAAAAAAAAAAAATTACCCTTCCTGTAGCAGCGTACTTAGATAGGCTTAAGAAAATTGAAATTTGCTTATCCTGTAGGTTTGCTGCGACGGGTATTTCATATTTTTACACTTTATAATATTACAATTTAAAATTTATTTCTTCATGTAAATGTGTGAGACTGACAAAGAAATAAAAAGCTGATAAAGAAATTGATAACAAATGTCAAGGATTTTAAAAACCCACCCATTACAACAATCCAAATCATGACTGCCTGCACACACAAATTAACCCTCCGAGTGTTATCTGCCGTAAAAGCAACTCATAACACATCCGCTGTAGTGTTATGTGTCGCTTTTGCAACTCACAAACACTGTTTACGGCGACGGCTCTCGGACTGACTGAATCGGATTGAACTGGATCGAGTTAGGTATCGTTTTTTTTTCAGCAGATTCAGAGCTTTCTCCTGATGTCTGTTTCTATACGCTTTTCATTTTAGTTCCAAAAATATTGTAGCAGACTGCTGACGTGCGTATTTGTAAATAGCTTGGTTAACCTCACACCGATGACTGATGTGTTTTATTACGTTTATCATTGTTTTAGTGTTAAAAATCAAAAGTAGTGATATACGTGGTGCATTATAAGAAGATTTAAGTGATTTTGAAGGGCTGGTTGATGATCCTGAAGAAGTAGGTAGTGATATTGATGTAAATTATCAGCCAGATTCCTAGCTATGGTTAGGCTATGCATTCTTAGCTAAACGCTATGTACCGAAATCTGTTTTTTGCCCATAACTTATTTATTTGCAAACCTACTTCCTTATATTATTACATTTTTGGAATCCTCATAAAAGTCTGAACAAAGTGGCTATTTTAAAATATTTGTAGACCTATAAATTATAACAATTTATTGAGCGCAAACATAAATTTTTTTCATTTATTTTATAATTTTTTAGAAATGTTAACCCCACAAAAATTGTTGAACATTTTTTTGTAATGTTTTATATGTTACATTGACGCCCATAATTTTCCAAACAAAATTATATATAAAACAGTATACCGGTACTTAACATTTTTTTTAAGTTTCTAAGATGCATTTTAATAAAACCCTGCGATTGCGCAATAAATGGGGGAACATTAAGACCAAAACTAGAGACACTTGGAGGGTTAAAAATAAAGAAGGATATTACCAGTCTCAACTTGTGCTATAAAAATATATAAATTACTAGCAGAGTACCCGTTCTTTATACAGTGTTGGCGTATAAGGATAAAATGTTTATTGCAGTTATACTTGGCTTTGCGTTTTTAATGGGAGTGGACATGGTTTAAGAAAATTTGGTTCTTTTAATATACGGTATGCTATAGTATAGCATAGCACATCTACTATAGCCATAATGTTCTACTACTACAACTAAACGATAGATAAAGTAAAGTTCTCATTGTATATCACAGCTTTTTGTTGATAGTTAGTTCAAATTCAAAATTTTCAATAGTGCTGCACCCTGTTGGTAAACCTTATAACTTTTTAACGCTATTTAATATCATAGAACCAACATGTGTAGTTGAAACAGCTGACAAAATTATTTTATTCCTTTTAAAACGGGGCAAAGCCCGCGGGTACAGCTAGTACAACAATAAAGTTTTTTAGCAATACGATTCGATTTTTTAATTTCCTTTAGCAGTGAACGTGTTAACATGGGAAACTCCAGAGCCACTGGGGCGGAGCCCGAAAGCACTTTTGAGATAAGAATGCATCTATATGTTAATTGGGAATGTGAGCTATCATCACACCAAATTTCAGCCCTATCCGACCAGTATTTTTCGCGTTTACTTGTCACAAACATACATCCATTCCATACATCCAAACTTTCTCATTTATAATATTAGTAAGATAAGATTAGTAAGAAGTAAGATAAGTACCAGTACAAATAATTACTGTACAGCAATAACAATGAATTATTTAATAGTGTTCAATGAAAAAAACAATTAAATAAAACTTTCTTAACTTACTCAGCAACTCGAAAGGCCAGTTCAAAGTTGTGTCTGCGTTTTTCTGGGGTGAGTTGGTCATAATCAAAGGCGTTGGGACAGAAATGATGGATGAGAGCACAAAACGCGAGGCCATTGTTCCAGCTGGTAGAGAAGTTTTCTATTTGTATGTTCTAAAAGAAAAATAAAAATAAAGAGATTAGCAACATTTTTAGATGGTATATACAATGAGATATATGTATAATAAAGTGTCACTGAAAAGTCCCGGAATGGTGTAATATATTTTTTACCATTAAAGTTAAAGTCATGAGACTTAGTATATAAATAATAGCCATAAATATCTACGCTATTATTTTTATCCCTTAAAGGGGATGACCCACGAGGAGTCAGACAAAAGTCTCAAATAGCAGCATAGTACGAGTTCGGTACCAAATTAAAGATCTAAGTTAGTTGAACATTTTTCAGTAAACCCGAACCAGTCCTCCTTGAGGATATAATGTGTAGCGTATAACAGGATTGCAAATTCAATGAATCTTTGAACAGCTGTCATTTTTGACTCGGTTGTCCATTTGAGTTCGGGTTTGTGGCATTGTATTTTATTAACATAGACCTTTAATTTTATGTGCATATCAACATAAGTTATGCTTAGGCCTACATTTAAGCTTTTCTTTTGACTCCTAGTGGGCCCCTGAGGAAGTAGGGTATCACTGAATAATGTTTTAAAATGTTTTAAATGCTTAGTAACTTTGTACAAACTTTTGTAGCTCTAACTTTATTATTTTTTTTTTTTTATATTTAACTGTCTCGGGACTTTTTTCCACCCTGTATAGTTTAGTCATGAATATTTAATAAAACATTTTAATACTAGACTTAGTGGTCTAGTAAAATTTGAAACCTTTTTAGATAAATTAATTGCTATGTATTTATTAGCTTTTCCGATGCTGTAGATACAATTTATGAAAATAATGTTTAAGTTTCCTGAGTAAAAATTCTGACATTAAAATATAAATCTAATACATATAAATATAAATCAGACACCCATAAAGAATTAAAGGTTTTTATGTTGATGTATGCTGATAAAGAAACTATTAAATTTTATGGTAGCAAATAGAAAAAATCTATTATTTTGGTTATTGTTATTGAAATTCTATTCCCAGAATATGGTTAAACAGTCCTTGGAGCAGGACGGTTTCTTAAAAAAAACAAAAGATAGATTGGCCATAGAGCAATCATTATCGTCTTATTTTAAAAAATGTAAAAGAATCCTAATCTAACAACATGATTGTTCTATACATACTTAGACAAACCATCTACAATAAGACAGGTAAAAATAATAAATCCTGTACCAATATTTAAGCAGTTAAAATTTAAATAATTAAAACACAACTACATAAATGTCAACAAACAAGTAGTCCCCCAAAATAGAGTCCTTCTAATCCAAAATTCACCTGTTTTAAGCCCTACCAGGGGAAAAATATAAAATCCACTTGCATATTGCTTGTACAGTACATGGTGACCGACAGGAACCGGATGTTTTTTTAATGGCTACATGCGACTATAATTTTTGTGAAGGGGGGAAGTGGAATCACTAATTTTTGTATATGACACTCTGTTAAAAGCCATGGAGCTGTGGACATGTATATGTTTGCCATTGATTTGTATGTGCAAAATGGCGAGTCTATCACAGCAGCACATCGACTTTATGAGTTCACTTTCAACTTGGACCCCATTATATTATTCCATACAATTCTCAGGTATGTTATAAATCTACCAACCACGATGGATCTTAAGGAAGCAATTTACCAGAGAGTAGTTTTATCAAACACTATTAGTTCCATGAGCTTATCTGAGACATTTAGAAGAGGATTTTAAGAAAACGATTGTAACCTGCATGGAAAACAGTGGACTCCATGCATGACATTATTTTTCATAAGAAATGCACATCTGTAAAGTGTAGCCAACTACTTTTAGTAGGCTAAGTAGTGTATTTCAAATGGCAAGAATTTACAAATATTTTAATGCAATAAAATGTATGATTGACACAAAAACAAATGAGTAATGCTAATTTTAAAAGTCTGATCTTTTTTGGCCACCCTTTATATAGATTTACCTTCAGGTCTCAGTCTCAAAACATATCACTGTCCAAGATTACAAATTCTTGATAAATATGACACTTATGTTGCTTATTATGCCTGACAAAATCAATTAACAACTTTGTCATTAAACATCTAAACTCCGCCTAACCTGAACAATGTTCAGTCCTGATCAATTTGGATTACAGGGACTCTATTGCATAAGGGAAATACAAAAATAGTGATTCAAATCTAAATAATGCAAAAAAATACCATCCCACCAACTCATGCAAAAAAAATCAACCAACCAAAACCAAAAGAATCAAAATTAAAGGGAAATGAAATATGCAGGCAACACCAGAAGGACAGGAAGCACCGTGATACCTTGTATTCACGAGTCTGAGCTTGAACCCAGGAGAGCAGACGATCCTTGATGGAGGATGCAGAGCGCGCCACTCGCGGGTCTGTCACTCTAAACAACGGAGCCGCGCCCACGCTACAATAAAAGCACAAGCTGGGTTAGCCGCCGCGCCACCAATGCGTTAGCTACCAAGCTTGAGGTTTGTAGAGAACATGTCAATTGGATAAAAGTTATAAATCTTTAGATATTCTTGAATCATCAACTGAATTCAAAATATCTTTATTCAAGAGGTATAATGGTATAAGTCAAATTAAATCACAGCACTAAAATTACAGTTAAAAGTAAAAAGTCTAAGAATGTTATAAAGCGTCTCATACAAAAAAGATACATTTTACAGATCATAATAACACATGGCATTTTACCAAAATGGTTTAAGTTGCCATTGTGTGTAAACCTAAGTTTATTGATTGTTTGGAATATTAAATCTACATAAATGTTCTCTACAGGCCCCAAAATATTCCATGAGCAGTAGTTAAGAAGTATCAGCCTATAAAATGGTTTGATAAAAAGTATATAGGTATAAAACTAAAACTACCATTAGTTACCAGATTTGTGGAGGTAAAAAAGGATACAGTTATAAAAGTAAGAATATTAAGTAGGTATCAATAGCATTTCTTAAATCTTTGTACAAATGTATTTTAAAATGTGGGTCTTTAAATCTGTATACTTAATACAATAAGGGTTTTCCCTGTTACATCCCTTTTCCAGCCGTACTATTCAACCAATTTTTACAATTGAGGTGTCATTGTAAAGCTTATGATCAAGCAAAGTGACAAATGGTAACTAAAAAGGACATTTTCTTTGCCCCCTAGAGTTTTATTTCTTTTATAGTTTGCTTTTAAAGATTCAGTGATGATGACAAACTTTTTTCATAACGGTTTAAATGAGCAGAGCTGATCTTTCAGTTTAATGTTTAAACACCCTCATATTGTAAACAAGAGACAAAACAGTTCATGGAAATTGATTTTAAATAGGCTACTTTTTTATAACTCTGTAACGTAATTGAGATAAGTAAATCAATCTTCATGCTGTAGAGCTAAAAGCAACAAATTTAATTTATTGTAAATTATAAGTTTTATTAACCTAATAAACTCCCTCTTCAAACAAATATAATCTTTGAAAAGCAGAAATACCTCACCTGTACACTATTAAGTGTACAGAGAAACTAAACAATCACTAAATTTGGAACAGCCCAATAAATAAAAAAACCATTTGTAATTTATTCATTAAAATTTAATAATGACAAAGTAAAAAAAATAAACAAATTGGCCAAAGTGTAAAATTGCATGCGTTCAAACAATCTAAAAGGGTTGTTTTTTTAGGCAAGGGCCGGTTTTGGGTATACTGTATCTCCGTAGTTCATGTGTTACTACCATCATTGGTGAACAGAATGGTGTCATTTAGCTGAAGTGTACGCTTTGCTGTGCGTCTAGAAAATCATCCTGCCGCACAGCGAAGTGTAAACATCAGTTACAGAGCTGCAAATGGCGTCATTCCGTTCACCAATGATACCAGTAACAGCGAGCCGCCTTGTGCCGGCGTAAACGTGAACTAAGGAGCTATATGCAAAAACGGCCGTTACTTAAAAATACTCCTAGGTCTAACTGAGGAGTTTAGTTAATATCTTTTGTTGTGATAAAATATAAATTATTATTCAAAAGTAAATTAAATTGAGCACCAATGATTGTTGAAAGCAAAACACAACAAACACACATACACCACAAAGAACATGTTTAACTAGAACTTTTGAAAGCATTTTACAGAAAACTATTGCTTGATAAAGTGTGTGTGCTTTTAAAGCCTGAAAACATTAAAAGCCACTCAACAATTTCCCTCTAAGTAATTTATATTTAGCTAAGAGAAAAATCCACTTCTAAAGCTAGAGGCAAAGAGTGTACTCAATTTTGATAATCAATACCTCACATATTGACATTTTGGTTAGGTAATCCACACTGATTTAAAAAGCAACAATATAATAATTATTAATTGACTCCTCTATATCTGTATATTTCATATTTTTTACTAAAACAGGAGAATTTATATACTTATTTACTAAAATAGTAACATGTTGTTGCATCTAGGACAAGAATTAAGTTCACAGAAGTGTATTTTCAGCCAATGACTAACTAGAGTGGCCAGCTGGCAGACTAGCTCACACTAGAGAAAATTGTTGCCAACCTTTTAACATTATTTTCATAGGATCCCCTACTAAAATCAGAACTTATTTAACCCAAATCCACAAGTTGGTACACAAGTATGGTTTTTGTTTCGGGGTGCTTGTGAACATCACAGCTACTGTAACAGTTTGTATCAAGGGGTTTAGCAATGAGTAAGCTGCAAAATGGCTTTAGCAATACTGAATAATTATCATAAAAAGTATTAGTATTAATTTAGTAGTTTATTATAGAGAGGGAAATATGAAGAAATAGTTGTCAATGTCAAACAAAACCACACAGACAAAAAGTTATAAGAATTACCTTGGAGCAGAGTTCTGGCGCTCAAGCTGTTTAAACTTCGCAAATGGAGAAGAGACGCTGCTGGCTATAACAGTTAATGTTTCACAATTAGATAAAATCAAAATATAATTATGAATTTGCGAACATATAGGCGTAGGTGTTAGACAAATGATCCTAGCAAGACTAAGTTAAATTTAATTTTAATTTTATAATGCATCCAAATAAAATGCAACTAGGAACTATACAATTAAGTTTAAATATATTTTTGATTCTGTTTGCCTTGGAACAGCCTTATTATGCTAGAAAGCCACATTCATTGAGATAGTTAAGATAAAAGTTAATTAAGTCAACTAATGTTCGCCATTAGACCAATGGCAACATACCAATTCTATACCAACCTTTAGTCAGTCGATTTGTTGATGTCCGGGTATGAACTGAAACAAATTAAATACATTTTGAAATTAAAGAATTTATAAATTTTTAAGATAGTAAATAAAACCTTCATTTACATTTTTTTTTTGCTTTTGATTTTTTTACTTAAACACCAAGATATGTAATCTATAAAACAAAGTCGTGTTAGTTTCACCACTTATAACTCAAGAACGACAGGACCGATTTAAATGATTTTTGATTCGTTGGATTTGTTTTTGTCTCGATTAACATAATATAGGCATATTCAGTTTTACTAAAACCTTAGGGCAATGTTAACATGTTTTAATTCATGCTTTCTTAGCAGCTTTTTGTTTACAGAAAATGTTTAACCGTTTGAACTTTGCTTGGATTAGAAATGGAAATATTGATATAACTTCAGTTTTAGTTGAACACTCAGTTCCCGTACGTAGGACGGGCCAACAGCTCGCTATTATAATTTGTGTAGTATTATACAAATTGATCAAATTTGTGCCCTGATTTACAATAATAGGGGTTGGCTTTCTTAAAATATGTAATACAAGTTTTCTGTTATTTTATTTTTGTTTACTGTGATATTTACATAATGAGCTGCAGGTATTGATTCCTGACAAAAGTTCAGTAGGTAGGGTACAACTTAGGCCTATCTATTTTATGTGAAATCATTATACATTGTTTTTTGCTTTAATATAGTACCCTATGTTGTGCAATTATTGTTTACCCATCAACTTTTAATTGTAAGTTTTTTCAACTAAGTAAACTTTTAAGTAAGCGTATCATTTGAAAAATTAAATCGTATGTAATCGTTTTTTCATACATGCATCAGCGCCTTATATAATTTTTACTAGGAAGCGTTATGAGTTAGCTTGAAATAAAAATATTTTCACAAACTAAGAGGTCCAATGAAATTTTGTTCCTTTAATCGAAGGTGGATGTGTAACTATTTTATACAACAGATTTAAACATCAATATTTTCTCTTCAGTGTCCTCTCCGTTGCAAAGCACGGGTACAGCAGCTAGTAATAATAATATAAAGATAAATGGAAATATTTGAGGACAAAGCGATTAAGAGGCAAACAAATATTTAGTAGTAACAATACAGTGAAATAGTGGTCTGTAAAGTTATATATAACGTTAAATAATGTAAGATCATAATTTTGGTAGAGTTCTTTTACATTTTTAGTAGTTTACCACAGTTACCTATCATGATATAATTTAAATATTTTTATCCTATGGACACATCCATGTGAGGACACTCCTTCTCTGTGCCTAGGGAGCTTCCTTGTTGCGTGATACGCCTATCATCAGTATTAAATGTTCATATCGTATTTGTTTTTTGTTTTTTTTTGTGCTTGTGATAGATAGTTAATATTTAATGAATGTTTGTACCGTATTTGTTTATTTTTTGTGCTTGTGACAGGTTGTCTATGTCTTTGATACCCTTAAAGCCTGGTTTACACGGGCGAGTACGGCAGGCGAGTCAATGTGTGAGCTGCCACTCTCTCTCTCTCTCTCTCTCTCTCTCTCTCTCTCTCTCTCTCTCTAACTCGCTTGGTGTAGACATGCAGGCGAGTCGAGCAACGGGCGAGTTGATAAAAAGATGTCAGTTGAGATCTATTTCCTCACCATTTAAAAGTTATTAATAAAAATTTCTTCTCTGTGCCTACACTATCCCTGTTTGAAATAGGGATGCGTGTGGACATAGTCTAGTCAAGTACCGGGCGAGTTGAACAAATCAACAACTGGGCCGAATAACTCGTCTGACATACTCGACCTGTGTAAACCAGGCTTAAGAGGCTGCATTAACGGTGAAAAATGTAGGTAATTCAACTGATGAAAAATACAAATATTAGTCCAGGCAAATAAAATTAAAAAAAGGTAGTGCTCCCCGAAAAATCTTCTAAGCTGGAAAGTGTTTTAATACCTTTTGGGGGTCCCAAATAAGAGTCCTGTGAGTTTGCGACGGATTCTGACGTCTGCTTAAGTTCTGGGAGTCAAAAATCTATGAAAATTTTGCACTTTTTTCAGTTTTTCGCTTATAACTCCTAAATGGCGAATCCTACGGAAAATGTTGTTCAATAGCGTCTTTTAGTGCATAAAATTCGGCATCGATTGGTGTAAAATAGGTTGAAATCGGCCGAGCCGTTCAGCCGCTGCAGCTTTTCAAAGTTGGGATATTTTCATCAACACGGCAAAAAAGTTGATTATTTGATCGGTTTTCATAGTTTTTCGACTTCCAAAACCTAAGCAGACGTCAGAATCCGTCGCAAACTCACAGGACTCTTATTTGGGAACCCCAAAAGGTATTAAAACACTTTCCAGCTTTAGACGATTTTTTGGGGAGCATATGTCTAATTTGCCTGGGCTATATGGGCTTAACAATGATAATTTTTGTTCTTAATCTTTGTTCATTAAATACACTAAATTTATAAGATCATGATACCTTCAGTCCTTGTGAAGGAGTTGCCTTCAGTTCTAGTCGTCACTTGTCTGGATTCTGAAGATTCTGAAATCAAAGTACTATATTGTACATCTGATAAGACATTTATTTACTCCTTATAACATACAGATGGTTATAAGTATATTTCATAACAAGAGTAGAAAATGAGTCATTGCATAATTTAAGACCATATTGTTTGAAGTGCTAGAGCGAGATTCATCGAGTACTTAAAATATGGCGGAGATGTATAGACCCACTCTCACTCGTGTTTTGAACATTAATTTTCGCTACACTACAAAGATTATTTTTTTCTCAATTAAAATAGACATTAAATATTTCTTTATTACAGTTAGGAACATTACATTTACAACTCATAGCATTTTTTAGGTTATGCCTTCATTTAAAGTTAATATTTACATTGATTGTATAGTTTTGGTTGTTGCAAATAGAAACAGTTGAAAAACAATAACAAATCTTTGTTTGCTTACATTGGCAAAATACAAAAAAGATAGGTAGTTGATGAATTTTTGCAGGTGATAAACATATAACGAAAACAGGTAATTTCACAGTAGTGTCGCAAAAAATATTAAACTACTCGTATCTCAGATTATGCATTGTTTAAAATTTAGAAAAAACAGTATCTTTGACTGTTGATAAGAGTATCATTTCATTCCCTTGTTATTGCCAGCTTCACAATATAAATCAATTTATTTGAACTAAGCCACCCACAGAGTACCGGTATTCTAATGTAAATTACTGATTCCTGTTGAATACTTAAACTTGTTAACCAAACCTAACTCAAAGGACAACTTACTGAAAACTATGCTTAAAAATGAAGCGAGAATACCTATATGATATTTTAACGGTAGCACATTTTGTTAAAAATACGCTTTCGCTGTTCCATTAAGATGGAATGTCTACGGCAGTAAACATTGTCGTTTAACAACACCGTAGGTTGATTATTTATTTCTTTGACTATGAAAAGGTGTGTTTATGTATTTTGTATTACCGATACTTTGTTATATAGGTATGAGCGAAAAAGCAGCTTGGTGGCAGAGTCACTTTTGGCGCTGATGATACTTGGATCGTAAAAAAATCAGACAAATTACATTTAAATTTTTTTTTATGATTTTAAAACTTGGACAGATGATACAAACCTTAAACAAATGCACCTCGGACAATTGATTTTCTTAATATTTTGTAATTTTTAACAACATCGAATAACAAACTGAAAACTCGAACAAATGATGTACCAGTAATCCGGAATATAATATATCATAATTTTTATAAGACCTAAATTAAATAGTTTGTTAGAGTAATTGTTACGTTTTCAAATAAATAAATAACAAGAAATTACATTTACAAAAAGCTAGATTATAAATAATACAGTATTCTAACATGTAGCTAAAGATCACTTTACATATATACAACAAAGTTATTATTACAAAACATATGGTTAAAGTATAGCACTAATAAACTAAGAACTGGTACAAAACTCTTTTTCTATAGACATTAAAATGTTAGGTTGACATAAATCTCAGTAGACGAAGCATTGAGAGAAGTAGTAAGGGCCGAAGATTAAAACATAATAGTACAGTTCATACTATAAATAAATTATCTGTAAAGTTGTCATTGACACTATTTCAATTTTAAAAATCAACTTATGATACTGCCATAATTTTTGGTAAGAAATACATTAACAAATTTGTTAATGATCAGGTGAAGAATGGTGGAAAATAACAAGATTTCCTACAACATTAAGGATATAAGTCAGGAAATCCCTCAACAGTTTAACAGATGTTTCTAGGCTTAGGTTATTCACACAAAAATATTCTTTTGTTTCGGTGGTTTTTTTTTTTAGAAGATTAAGAGTTACGTAGGTATCTAAAATCAAAGTGTAAAACCAATGTATGAGTTGTTAACAAAACAGGAAAAAGGACAACAATGTCTATATTTGCTATCTTTTGGGAAAAGGCGCTGTTATTTTTTTTAAGTTAATAAAAACACAACACAAGTTTAGTTACATTGACTACAAAAATATATTCTCTAATCTCTACAGTAAAAAAAAATATTAAGATATGCAATTCCATACAATGTTAAGTGGAAACTTGAGCAAAGCCAAACCAAAAACGCAGTCAAAATAAGGAAATTGACTCACAAGATGTCTTGACTTGGCTCGATACCGGAGAGAGCACCCCACGAGGATGGAATCTGAACCATAATTAATAAAGCACTTTTCTGAGCAAGTTAATCAGAACAGAAGTGTAAACACCGAAACAAAAGAAAACAAGAAGAAAATCAAATCTAATTTGCACATTAAATACTCTTTATGAAGCGAAAACAAGAAATTCAGAAACGTGGGTGCACCATTCTATCACCATTAGAGATCACAGATTTGTTTAAGTGTCCTCACTACCAAAACTGGTAATAGACTACTTTCGCTTGGCCACTTCTTGAAACAAACTCTCAAATGCTTCATCAACGTTTTCTAAATTTTCATCCAATTTCACAATCCTAACAGTTTTTTTCTGTTTGTTGGATTTAACTGATTGTCTTATTTGCGGTTTAAGGTACTGATCAACTGTGAACTGTTTAACGGCTACTGTATCAGGTGTTAGATGAGCTTCGTATTGTTTAGGGAATGCTAACGAATGACTAGACTTTGTTTTTGATAAGCGGGGGCTTTTTGGCGGAGGATGTCTTCCTTGAGATTTTTGTTCTTTGACTAACTGGTGCCACGACTCAGACTTTTGGAGAACAGTCGGAAAGGAAGGAGAAGTTGATGATCTTAAGGTGGGAGACTTGGAGGGACTTACACAAAGAGGGGGTTTTGGTGGAACATCAAACTCATATCTGTTTGTGAAAGGAGTGTTTTGTGTTGGAAGCTTAATAGGAGCATTTGAATATTGATCTAAATCTGATCTTCTTCCAAGGTTTGGTGAAGTGTATGGAACAGGTGGTAATCTATCGGCAACAGCTTCTGGAGGATTAGCCATATTGCTAACAAACGGACGAAAAGCAGATGCAGCCGATGATATTGGTTTGCTCTGATTATTTTGCATTCCATCATAATGAGCTAAAGCAAGTGCAGGAATACTTTTGGTGGGATAAGAATAGGAATCTTTGTACTGTTGAATCTGAGAATACTTGAATGATTGAGATTGATTTGTATCTTGGGCTGGGATATTTTGACTATTGGGTTGAACATCTGATTGATAAGAATAAGACCCTTGATGCTGTTGACCATGAGGTTTTTCAAGCATAGGCGTTTCTGTTAGTTTTTGATGATGAGGTGGTTTAGGTTTTTGGTTTGGTGTGGTTATGACTTTGTCTCCATGAGATTTATAAGAGTATGTGTCCTGCAACTGTTTTTTTTCTACAGTCGGATTTATAGGTTCTGGCGATTTAGTATAAGCCAGTTTCTCTAAACTTTGTTTTCTTGCTGTATTTGTTGGTGAGCTGGGAGATTTTAATAATGTTTTAAGTAGGGATTCAGATTCAGATTTGTCATCCTCAAAACGATGTTGTTTTCTGCTTGGAACAGTGACTGCCTTCTGGCACTGAGCGTGACCCATAACTTTAGTAACTGCAGTTTGTATTTCAGTTCCTTCACTCAGAGAAATATCTCTTTCTTCATCATACTCAAAATTTACGTTAGGGCTTCGAGTTGGAGAACTAAATGGGCTTTCATCAAAGTTAGGAGACTTTAGATTGTTATTTTTGACTGGAGACTTGCATATTTCAAACTCGTTTGAAGCGTTTATGTACTGCTTCATGGATGAAGAAGAGTCACTGAGTTTTGAAGAAGTGAGACTACTATGGGAGGAGTTGTTTTCAAACTGTGTATTGGTGATTGCTGGAATGGTTTGCTTCACAATCAGCGGGGGCTGAACAGGAGGATTATCATATTGAGGAAATTGCACAGGTGATTTTAAAACATCAGACAAAACCAAAGGATTTGGTACTAATGACTCTTCAGAGAATCTGTGGCGTATTGGTTCTCTTTTAAACCCTGAAGCTGATGAAGGTGATAATAAAACATCCCCACTATTATTGTTGTAAGACTGGGTTGTGCATAATTTATCATTTGCATTAAACAAAAATCGGTCATGTTTAGGTTGACTGAAGTTTGCATAAGACTGATCATAAGCTATTGGGTATTGCTCAACTTGTTCAGCTGGTGTTGAATATTGTTCATAAGATTCAGCAAAACAATGAGGCTGGGAGGGAAGATATGACTCATGTGATGGAAACTCATTGTAAGGTTGTATATAAGATGTATGTTGAACATAAGCTGGCTCTTGAGAATAGTAAGGGATTGCACTAATTTCTGGTGGTGAGTCTGGTTGAAGGTTAGAGGTAGCTGTTAAAGAACTTCCATCAATTCTCTCTGTTGGATACTGGAAGGGACCTGAATGATTTTTAGTTAGGGAAGGTGGAGTATTTATATACTGCTTAGGAGGAGAACATTTAGTCCCATCTTTGAATTCCTTGAGAGTTTTTTCTTGGGGGATTTTAAACATTTTAGGATCATAAGAAGATTGATCAAGTAATTGTTTTTTGGTTAATGATATACTTGAAGAGATTTGATTAGGTGGTGGTGAAGGTAGCTTTACTGTTCTATTTTTATCAGTAGGTTTGGAAATCTGCTCAACAAAAGGATGCTGTTTAATAGTATTTGCAGAGTTAAATTGTTTATCTTGAATAACAGGGTACTGCTTAATAACTGGCTTGGAAGGAATATTTTCTCCAGAAAATTTTTGGGTTGCTAGTTGCTTAACAGACCCACTTGCAGAGGATGTCTGGTTAACTTGTTGTTGAGTTTTTTTCACGTCTTGTATTTTATTTTTTTCCGGAATTATATAACTTGCATTCAAAGGTTTTGTTGAACTTTGAACAACTGTTTTTTTAGTAGGTTCAAATACCTGAACTTGAGTTAATGGTTTCTTCTCTATTGGTCTGAAAGCTGACTTTGGAGCATGAGAAAACTTATTGACTGGACCGAAATTTTTTTGTGATGGTGTTTGGTGAGAAGGTTTTACTGTCAATGATCCCACAATCACCCCATTCTCCTCCTCTCGAGTTGTCCAGGGCAATTTAGCCTGTAAGGGTTGAGGTGTTCTGTTCACACCTTGCCGAGCTATAACTGGATCTGGTGGCTTTGATGAATTGCTCAGCCAGTTTTGGGTTATAGGAGGGAGGTCTGGTTTTGTCTGGTCTGTTTGTTTGGTCTCAGAAGGTTTTTCAAAAGCTGTTTTAATATTAACAAACCTATTAGTCCATGGCTGCCCACCCCTTGCTGATGGATTATAAATACCAGCTTTTGCTTCGCTATTACTACTATTTGCTTTTTTCAGGAAAGCCAAAAACTTTAAATCACTCTCTGTCTTTGGTTCAAAAGGAGGTGGGTTTATTTGTTCACCTTCAATGCATTTCAGGTCTTTTTCTTTCATACCAGATGGCATACCAAAATCATCTGGCGAAGACCTGTCATAAGCATTTGCTGGTTTAGGTATATCAATTGTGTTAGCACGTTTCATTTTCTGTTTTTTATTGCTTCTGTCATGAAACTTTCCGTGGTGGGAAGTATTTTGATTGTCTGTGGCAATTTGCAGTAATCTTTGAGCAGACGATATGGCATCTTCCAATCCATCCTGTCCCATGGCCAAACTGTGATCTTCCTCAACACTAGAGATATCACCGTCTTCGCTATCGTAACAGTCTTCCCGTTTACTACTTTCTCTTTTGATTTCTTCTTCAGATATCTGTTTGTTTATTGCCGCTTTGTGAACAGCAATTTGAACGGACTGTGAAGGAGTAAAAAGAGTTAGACTCGGATCATATTCTAAAAGACTGCTTCCACTATCTGCTTTAGATACATCTTGTGGATAAGTGTAAACTGATGATGAATGAATGTTACTAGGCTCCTCTTGGCTATCACTCCGTTCAAAAGTTTGTGGCTGATCCACTGTTTCTAGAGGGTTTTCTTCTCTAGAATGGTTTGGATTAAATATAACAGGACGAAATACTTGGTGCACAAGTTTTGGAGGATCCTCTTGAATTTCATTTAAGTTTGTAGAAGAACAGCTCTCAACTGATGGAGCCTCGGTAGATGTGGCAGACTGCTGCCTTGTTTCTTGTAGCCACCTCCTAGCATCAGCCAACTCTTCTTTACTCACCCCAACAGTGTGTCGTTGATGTCGTTGTCGTCTATTGGCATATCGCCTGACAGGGGGTTGTGGTGGAGGGGCTTGAGTAGGGGGGGGAGGGTTAGAAGGAGTGGATGTCTGAGATACCGGTTGCAACTTTAGACATGACTGTAGCCGATTGACAAGTCGGATTAAAGCTTCGCGCCTAACCGGGTCCAGACCGGGTAAAGCTGCCTCCAACCGCGTTAACGCACTCTGCACTTCTGCAAGGATTTCAGGACTCAGAAGTCGAAAGTCTTCTCCAGACTCAGTGCCGGAATCGTCAATGGGACTGCGACACTCACCACTGTTAGCAATATTGTTCCCAGTTAGTGCCACCAGGTCTGCACAAGCTGCAACAACGAAACAACACATTAATCCAAATTGACAATCGATGAGTTGGTTACAAATCACATTTCTATACCCTGGAGGTGGGAAATGGCGTTACTTTGCAGTAATAGTCAGGAACGTTCCTTACCTTTTCGGTAATAGGTGAAATAATACTATTATTTTTGTCACCTATTACTTCCTTTTCGGTAATAGGTGAAATAATACTATTATTTTTGTCACCTATTACTTCCCCTTCCAGTAGGTTTCAGCCGGTTGTTCTCTCTCTATCACAAGGTTGCCTTTTACTTGTCATGGGAAAGAATATAGAATACAATTATTTACTGCGAGACTGTTAATAAAGTTTTCAGCATGAAGTTATATTTTCTGCAACAAATTGTTACCTATTCTAAACTGATCCTTAACAGATTAGTATCATTTATTTGATAAAACTGAACTTGAACATTAAAATAGTCTTGTGGCATTATATTGTGCAATAATAATAATTTGTCCCTTTGTAAATGTGTGTATTATTTTAAAATTACTAAGAAAACTCATAACTCCTACAATTTGGCCATGTGAATCAACTTTCAACCTCTAAATTCCCATTTAGTTTCCTTCTTTAATACTGAACATTAGAGAGCGCATAGGCGGGCCTTTTGCTTGGCGCCCTACGCGACCACATACTTTGCATGGCTTAAACCGGCGGACTTGAACATAAGGAAAGATAAAACTGTAAGTAAACAAAAATCAGCTGTGTATGGCTTTCAATGCTATTCTTATGGAGAACATTTTACGTTATATCTCATTTTGTGTTAAGATTTTTCCCGCCATCATAAGATATAGACCTTTAATTTGAGCTCTCTCCTGTAGTTATACGTCGCCCACAATTTTGACGCAAAGAAAAATCTTAGGTAATTAAATATATATATATTTATATATAGAGCAAAGGGGCGCTACTACAGTATTAGTTTTGTCTATGGCGCTGAGAGGGTAAAAAACGGGCCTGGATGCCCCGTTTCTGATGCTTGTTCATGTGAAACAGTTGACTTAATTGACTAAGTTTTAGCGAATTTGCCAATAGGGAAGTAGCTATTACCGTAGGTGGCACGGTAAGACCTAGGCCCGGGACCGATTTACTTTTTCATTTTGATGTCCCCAGAGGCCAAAAACACCATTCGTTCAAATTTTTATATATGTATTTATATAATTATATATATACAGATTTATATATATATACGTCCGTGAACGCGATAACTTGAGTAATTTTTGTCTGATTTTAATGAAATTTGATTTAAAGGTGTGAGGCGGGATAAACTTGAACGAGTTTTATATAGGCTTACCTCCGTCAGTAGTCCAAAATTGTGTCTTTTACAACTAATGTTGTTCAAAGCTTACATGTTTCGTTGCACTGCAACATCGTCAGAGCTTTTTGTCAAAGACATCAAATAATTTACACATAGAACAAAACACGGAACACGAAACATTTAAACACGTAATAACATGATAGCGCTATCGACACGGCACGGCAGCGGTTGTAGGTAGACTGGGCACGAACGAGTTCGCAAACCAGCATGATCGGGGACCATGGGAACGGGGTTTTACGGGGGCTTTTATGGGGTAAAAAGTGGTTTTTCTCATTTTTGACCTTCAAAACACAAAATTTCCCAATTTCACTCTAGACCTTTTTAAAGAGCATAAAAAAAACTAATAATTTAGTTTATCAAAGTGTTTTTGTATGGTTATTGGTAATGGAGAAAACTCAAAAAAATTTAAATTTAAAATTCCTATGTTATTCTTATGGAGAATATTGTAAAATGTTGTAGTTTGCTTGTTTATGGATATATTTTGATCAAACTTGGCAAATTTATTTATTTTACACTAAGCTATTAATATTTTACTAAAAAATACATTTCATTAGTTCCCTTGTAGCAGCAAACCTAGGTACTCATTAAACCTAATGTTATTTTAATAGATTTAATTGAAAATCAATTCACACAAATGGAAATTCGCTTAGTCGGCAGGTCTGCTGCGGCAGGGGTATTTATTGTTAGTAACAAAATAAAAATTCTATTTGGTGTAAATTAAAAAAACCATTATTTAAACCAGCAGTTACTATTAGTCTATATATAAAATCCAATGTATGTATGTTTGTTTGTTTGTTTGTCCTTTATGGACTCCGAAACCGCTCAATAGATTGTAATGAAACTATCAGGCATTATTAAGCATTATTCAAGGATGGTTTGTGTAAAGTTTGGTGCAGATCCGTCAAAAGGGCTCCGCCCCAGTGGCTCTGGAGTTTCCATGTTAACCTTATGAGTACTCATAAATGGAATTAAATAATCTTAACAGCTGGTTCGACTAAACAATTTGATTCTGTGATGTTCAATAGCATTAAAAAGTTAATAGGTTTACCAACAGGGTGCAGCACTATTATTTTTTTAAATTTATAACAACCGCTAATTTGCAACCAAAAGGTGAGTGAGCGTAGCGAACGAACTTCAACCCGGAGGCGAGTTAGCGTAGCGAACGAGCTAACCCGAAGGCAAGTGAGCGCAGCAAACGAGCTCCAACCTAAAGGTGAGTAAGCGTAGCGAACGAACTTCAACCAGGACGTGATTGAGCCATGCAAACGAGCTCATCTTGAAAATTTCCGAACATTTGACATAAAACCACATTAGGACAGGACGACGTCTGTCGGGCCAGCTAGTATATTATAAATTGAATGATTGTTTAAATTATAGGCTAGGCTATTAAAAACTTGTATTTTTACCATATTTTACATACAAGCCTACATATGACAGAGTATATTAAATGACAAATGAAAGGAGTATTGTATAAATAGGAGTCTAAAAGAAATGGTAAGGGATGTAAACAAAAATTGATTTTCATTTGGTAGCCAAGCATGCACTTTAGAATAGGCTGTGGTCGTACTGGGAATTCAGAATTTTCTCTTGGATTGACTAATTATGTAGCATTACCGATAGTAGGAACTATCAAGGGTTTGCTGATTGAGCCATTTGCAATAGGAATAGTTACAAGCATTAATGTACATGGATAATCAAGAAAAAGAAGATGGAAAGACGACAGAAGATTGCTTGTATTGTCAGGTTTAAAGTTAATTAGATTTTCATAAGATAAGTATCGTAAAATCATAAATCGTTTGATTAATTTGTTGTCATAATCTATGATAGTTTTTATAAACAAACGGTATCAGCTAATTTTTACAAACAAACGGTATCAGCTAATCTGATACATATACTTTCTCCCATTAGCTTATCAACATAACCGTGGGAGTAACTATGAGTAACTATGATATTTTATAGAGAGAAGTCTCAAAAGTTGCAACAACTTTTAAAGCGTAATTTTTATAGCAATGGAGTTTGCACTATTTTGTTTAGAATTATAAGAACTAAAACATATACTTATTTGAATCAAAACCGGCTTTTGTTTGGATCCGATTTTCTGTTATTTTATAATATGGTTTCTTATGGGAAAACTAGTACATGAGTTACACAAATTTTTTAGCTGTCATTTTTACAGCAATGGGAGTCATACCATTTTGTTCAGAATTTAAAGGGCTATAACAAACTAAAAATTTATCAAAATCGTTGGGACTATTTTTGAGAAAATTATATTTTTCTGTTAATTTATGGGTTTTTATGGGCAAATCGCCATAAAAATCGAAATTTCAAAAATATTAAATAAAGCCTGGAGATAAGTTTACCATGAATTAGTACCTACATATCAAATTTAAACAAATTCAGACAACAGGCGTGGTCTGTAGCTCTGTAGGCCTACACCTCCACACATCCAGACCTGACACACACACACACACAGCAGACATCACTTCGAAAACCACTTTTTTGTTAGGGGGTTCCAAAACAGATATTTCCACTCGAAAACTTTTATGAAAACAATACTTTCTCCGTTTAGGAGGAGAAAGTAAAAATTGTATTTAGAAATTCAGTAATATGATTTGTTGACATCTTTGTTCGCTCTGCTCAATTGACGGACCTCAAACCACATACCTAGTATAGAATCTCTTCAATATTTTAGTCAGGCATCTTTGCATGTACTTGTGCAATAGTTATTTGTGTAACTAGTGTGCGATATAACTTAAGTGTGTGAAGTGGCACTTTGCTTCAAACAAGAGAAATGTTTACGCACTACAGTAGGCGAGTGTGGAAAGTTTCTCGAGTACATCAAAGGCAGTTTGCACTCACGTTACACATTATATTTTTCCTACAGTTACCTACTATAAAGCATAAATAATTAGTCTTTCAAACACTGTATAGCACGTTTTTAGGTTAGGTTAAATCCAAACATTGAACAAAATGGGAAATGCTGCACCAGCTGATCGTAGTCGTAATATCTTCAAGTGTTGCCAACTTATTTTCTAGCGTACATGTATTACGTGCCAAATAAAAGCACGCTGTTTTGTGTTGTTTGGTTGGAATACTGGTAAGTGACAACAACAAAACTGTGCGGCAAAGGTAAGTAGGTGCAGCAATTATCAACTTTCTGTGCTATAATCAGTGCAAGGAAGGCCTTTTTGTCAGGTGACTGTAGGAAAAATATTATATTTAGTTGTTTTGAATCAGCTGTCTGAAATATTAAAATAATCATTTAATATTTAATAATGCTTGTTCTGCTTGTTTACGTTTAAATTTAAATCTATATAATTAATACGCTACATGAAACTTTGTCGGTTGAACTCCTCCGCCATTTCTTAACCGATTTTATCCATTGAAGTCTCATTGGAAAGAGCGTGTCGCGTAGATTTGCAAACTGGCCTTACAGTTTTGAAAGCGTCCCTTGGGCTCTGCCCCAGTGGCTTTGAAAGTTCCCATGTTATCCTTATGGAGAACTTAATTGTTTACATTTTGATCAGCTGTAGAATTTAATTGCTGTTATTTATTTTTCAATTCAACGCAACGCATTGGGTACATTTACTGATTTTGAAGCAATTAAATATTTACTATTTCAATTTACATTCGTACATATTACAATGTTAAAAATCGAGAAAGCCTGGTCAATTTTATATGTTTTACCAAATAAGAAAAATGAATTGACAGGGTATTGTAATTCTTGAGCAATCATTGAAAGAACTGATTTGTTAACCATGGAAATATAGGAAAGTAATAGAACACCACCAAAAAAGTAGAAGAAATAGAGATTTAAAAAAATACAATCGTTATCATCCTATATAAAGAAGAACACATACAATACGAAGATTCCCACAAACAATTAATGAACAAGGATGTGTTAGCCGAAGTGCTACTATTTTGTTGGAAACACGGACTTAACTTTATGATGATTGGCAAAGGAAACCTCTCTAAGGCCGAATTAAACTGGTACGGCAAGGACATTAAATATATGTTTTCATACAAGTCAAGTGATTTTAAAATAATATGACTACATCCAAGAAACCTTAATAAAACTTTCATTGTGAAATTCACACTATTCAGATTATTATTCACATTCAAGGGAAACAAAAAATCATCTGAACATTAGGCCTTTCAATTCTGCATTTTTCCAGGTAAATATAACTTACGTTATAACAGTACCTTGCCAAATTAATGCCAATTGAAGCAAATATAATTGTGACAGAGAGGTTATGCAGAAAATCAGGCAATTCTTAAGTAATGTAAACAAAATGTTATCGCTATAAAAAATGACTGAAATTTGTAAACGTACTGGCGACAATGTTACCATGCTGACTACATTATCATTGACAAAAATCAACATGGACAACCTAATGCGGCTATAAGTGGGAAACATGTGTAGAATACCCTAAAAACCAGATCAGCTTATAAAATACTTACAAGAAATGTTTATTATATGAAACTGTTAGGTACATAATCTATGAATTGTTGAGTCTTTTAAACTCATCGGAAATTATAACTTTTATTAGTTTTTAAATAACTACTTTACTCCTTTGCAATTGCTCGATTTCGAGCAACATGTACACTAGTGTAAAATTATTCCTATTCTGCCATGGTGACCAATCAATATTTACTTTTGAAAACCTCACCTCAAAACTTTGGACGTTCACGGGGCGTAGCCCGAGGGAAACTCAAGGAAGTAAATAGGCCTGGCATTCCTAGATATATGAACCATCTCTGTGCATAATTTTTGCTATGTCAGTTTAGTATTAGGGTGAATAAAAAGTCAAGACCCCCCCCCCTCTAATATTTTTCCAAGTAAATATACAGAGATATCATTTTGGTGGTCGTGCAATATTAGCAGAAAGTTTCATTTTATAATTTTGAAATTTTTGAGTGTCCCCCCAAAAGGGGGAATTTGGGGGGGCAACTCAAATATTTTAAATGTAAACCCCCTTCAAGTAACACCTCATTTTGAAGGGTTTACAAAGAATGGTGAAAACTAGAGGTCGCTATCTCTTCTCTATCCAAAATGGTAGCCTGTCAAATGTTGTGGAAAATCAATGGTAAAATTGGTTCGTAATGGTAATATTGGCTACAATTTTGGATAGAAAAGAGATAGCGAACTCTAGTTTTCTCCATTCCTTAAGTTTTTGTAAACACTTCAAAACGAAGTGTCACTAAATGAGTGTTTACGTTTAAAATCATTGAGTGCCCCCCCAAAAGGGGGGATTTGGGGGGCAACTTAACATTTTTCAATGTAAACCCCCATCAAGTGACACCTCATTTTGAAGTGTTTACAAAAACTTAATGAATGGTGAAAACCAGAGTTCGCTATCTTTTCTCTATCAAAAATGGTAGCCAATATTACCATTACAAACCAATTTTACCATTGATTTTCCACAACATTTGACGGGCTACCATTTTGGATAGAGAAGAGATAACGACCTCTAGTTTTCACCATTCTTTAAGTTTTTGCAAACCCTTCAAAATGAGGTGTTACTTAAAGGGGGTTTACATTTAAAATATTTGAGTTGCCCCCCAAATCCCCCCTTTTGGGGGGACACTCAAAAATTTCATAATCATAAAATGAAACTTCCTGCTAATATTGCACGACCACCAAAAGGATATCTCTGTATATTTACTTGGAAAAATATTAGAGGGGGGGTCTTGACTTTTTATTCACCCTGTATAGATATGCATTTATACAAATTTTAAAGAATGGTGTTTTTGACCTCTGGGGACATTAAAATGAAAAAATATATCGGCCACCTACGGTAATAGCTACTCCCCTATAGGAAAATTTGCTAAAACACAAAACATTGAAGACTTAACCCTTCCTGGACAGGCGAAATCGTTATACTTAAATTTGTTATACAAGTATACATAAAAAAAACACAATGGAACAATTCATACAATCAAAATAATTTTTTACTTTCTTTTAACTATGCGGATATATCTGCTACCCGTCCACGGATGAGTAGAAAAGCAGCGGATATATCCGCCACCCGTCTTTGAAGATATGACCATGACAACGTTAGGCAATAAATAAAGAACAATATGTAAACAATAAATTAAAGACAACGTAGTGTTGAGCGCGAAACACCGAGGAAGAGCGTAGGAGAGGTGGGTCGTGCGCGGGAGAGGGATAGTCGCAGGTGAGGGGGGGAGTGCTGGAGAGAGCACGAAAGTGGTGTCTTGGTACCGCGAAACATCTGGTTTACTGCTCAAGCACCTGCCAGTCTGTCTGAAGAGAAGGCGGATGTATCCGCTTCCCGTCCGGAACATCAAAAACCATAAGCGGATATATCCGCCACCCGTCCTTTATCACTAAAGACTTAGGCGGATATATCCGTCACCCCTCCGTGAAGGGTTAAGTAAAAACCTGAAAAGGTATAAAATACTCTGGAGGAGTTTACATAAGAGGTTTCTATTATTGAATATAAACTCAATGGTTCTACTATCTACAATAATTAAATTCTATTATGTTTATATGAAAAACACTTAGTTTTAAAAGCTTTTTACATGAAATGTGACTGAACTCATGCAAATGAATAGGTTCATGGACAAAAAACAAAATAAGAAAAAAACATTGTCTCAAACAGAAGGAAAATGCTGGATAAAACCCACACATAGCCAAGCAAAGGAATCCAGTCAAGTTGGTGGGATCCATATTGAAATGTTAAAGATTTTTTACCAGCAAGATTGATATGTTTAATTAAATGCAGATATTTAAAGTTGAAATACAATCTTTCTTCCTTTCTCAATCCTTTACCGAGGCGAAAAAAATTGAACAACATGAATGAATGATTTTTTACAAATATTTTTTTATGAATAGAAATTGTAATGCACTTTTCAATAGCAAATGGGTATTTCCAGTAGAGGTTAAGTGATTTTTACCTTTATGTTCTGCCATGACAGTTCGCAAACGAGCCCTCAACTTGCGTCTTCCGTCGTAGTCGGTACACTGCTCCAGCTATAAACAAACATTGTTGCTCATATGGTGCTGATCTTCGTTGACATTAAGAATTAACCAGTAACCACTATGGAATGACCCAACAGCAAAGTTTCCAAAACATTGACGAAGATACATTTAAAAATCCGCTCAACAACTTATTGACCGTGACAAGTATTTGTATTTTACCTATACAACAAGAGGAAGAGATAATGAAATTTAATCATAAATTCTAGTTGAGGTGGAAGCCTAGTCAGACTGCTTCCTATTCAAATAATTAAGACTCTTTTTTATAGTTAAAGAGTAACTATAACATCCAAAAACTAATTTTGATATGCATTAGCCAGCCAAACCCCTAAATTATTGGCTTATGAAAACCATTGTCATCGCTGTGCATTAGTTTTCTTTGACTTTATATGAATACAAAAAGATCAACAATAGAGCAAATTATTTTAATAGCTTAATATTATAAAAACTTTTTCAAATTTTACCAAAATATATCCATAAACAAGCAAACTAAATCCTTTTACTTATTCTGTATATAAATAGCATAAGAATTTTTTATTTACAGTTTTTTCTATTTTATATTTAGTCGTTACGCCTAAAACAACGCTTTAATGTACTAAATGATTTGTTTTGTTAGCTCTACAAAATGGTTTAGAAAGAAATTACAAAACTTTACGATTTTCACGCCATAAGACACCGTTCCCATAGTCCGATTATGCTGGTTGGCAAATTCATTCAAATAAACGTCCGTTTACACGTAACAACTTTCATAAAAATCGGATGATTTTTACTCACGTTATCGAGCTAGGACATACACATATAGGCTATATAAAGTCAATCGGTCCCGGGTCAAGGTCTTACCATGAGATCTATGGTAATTGCTTATTCCCCGAGAAATTTGCTAAAAGAAGAGGCTGAATAAATAAATGCACATGGATGATATTAATTCGTTTTAGAAAATAACCAGCAATATCTGCTTTATTTCTGAAACCAAGAGATTTGAGAAAATATCTTTAATTGTTTTAATTCTGTGCACTACACTATTCCATGAGTACGATTATAAATTTGTCATTTGTGTTCCAATCCATGTGTATTACAATGCATCATCCATTTAACATGGTTTTGTTTTATACATACAGTTAATGATGGCTGAGGTAATTAGGCGAGAACAAAGCTATGTGATGGTTGCAGTTGTTATTGAATGCTCAGAAACAAAATGTTTTGTCATTACTCACCAGATTTTTGAGAACCTGTTCGTCCCAAATATTTTCAATGTCCTCTTCTTTCTGCCTTGTAGTTGCCTGAAACAATATTTTCTATCAGACTTCATAAATAGCAAATCAACACTCAATCATGTTTTTGAGGTTTATTTATTATCTCGCTACTATTTACTATGGTTTAGATTTTGTTTTGTTGTATATTGATATGTGTTATATTTATGACAGGTTAAGTGTAAGAAAGGGCCATCTGACCCTAACTTTTGCCTGTATAAATAAATAATATTTAATTTCATTTCATTTACTATGCACTATCAATGCAAATCCTAAAAATACCAAACCACTACTAAAACTCTAATCCTAAAATTACAAATCCCTTGTTAAATTATTGCAATACACGTAGCCTTATAGAGCATGGGTTTTTATTTGATGACTTTTCTGCATTTTTGTGAACTTTGAAGTGACAGCTACCATAGTCTATTTGCTTTATTCGTCTTGTTGCATTTGCTAAAACGGTTTGTTTATGTTTGGTTTATGAAGTTAGAGGATCAGAAAATTATGCAATAAACGATTTGGTAAACCGCTTATACTATGTTATGAAAGAAATATGTAGGCCTACTGTTCATGTTAGAATATAAACTAGGGTTGGACTAATTTTATACAAGCTGTATAAAAGGTTAAAGCTGTTTAAAATTAAGGTCTTTTAAAGTTAGTTTAACAATACATATAAAACAATAAATAGTTACTGTAGCTTTAGAAATAAAACTAGATATTCCTTAGACCAGTTTAGAATATATTTCTCTTTCAGAGGAGGCTACGGTTCAGCTGATGGAATACATTTTGCCCTATTTTGGATTTGCAAGTCCTGTAATCCCCCCCCCCCCAAAATAAAAATAAAACTATAATAATTATAAACACACATTTGAGAGTATTTCGAAAATGATTATATTCGTGATTAACTTAAGTAGATTGTAGATTAATCAAAAGTAGTTATCTATTATCTTGAATAACAAGTGGATGTAGATTGGCGATTGCACCAAGCGAGGACGTTTGGTCACTTGAGTTGTTAGTGACGTGATCTAGTTGAGCTAATGTGCTAATTAATTATCCTGGTGAATGAAGAAAGAGACGCAACGCAACGCAAGATAAAGGACCAGAACTTAGTCACTTCCCGAAATAACCTCTTTGTGTTGGCCAGCTGTTGTTGCTCTATTTCGGGAGTGTCAATTGTTTTATTGCCCAATAGTGTCGCTGAACCGCAACAATATTTATTAAAACTGTTTGGCAGTGGATTTATGAATGAACTTGGATACTTGGTGTACTTTTACAACTGTTATAAGCGACAATTAAACTAGTGGTATCCAACCAAAGCATTGTGCATAACCTACATTAAGTACGGTACGTTAATATTGGCAAATGTTGTGTTTGTAATCATTACAGCATGCGTCGTTTATGTAGTTGTGATACTGATTGCAAACACTTACAATAACTATAAACCTTCCTGTTTTCCAAATGTAATATGGGCATGCCAACTTTCCATAGGTTTTTGATTAGACCTACTTGTATTATTTTTATTGTTATTTTGTTTGTATAGGTATCTATTGTATAAATAAACCTGATTTGGGTTATCTATATAAAAATAGATCACAGATTACGGAGATGGCGTAAGTGCGAATTGGATCGATAGTTGAATGACTTGAGGAAGTCGACTCTGTTTCATTGTAGGGAAGTACCCGCAAGTAATCTACAATGTATCGGTGTACTCTGAGTGCCAACATCAGCGCAAAATAAGACCTAACATACCATGCTTCGTCTTGGGCTTAGTTCAACCAAGATCCACAAGCGCAAGACATTTACCTTGACGATTGGCAATAAATTGCTCATCACGTGGAAATTACTAATAACATCTAAGATTTTTAGACAAAATTAAAAATTACCTATACGAATGAAAGTACCAATGTTAGGAGGCCAAAGGATCGTAAATTAAAATCATACCCGTTCGGTATTCTCTTTACGTTACATAGGCTACTGTAGTAGTTATTGTTGTGCGTAAAGAAAGGGTAGCAGTAATAGTTTAAATTAGATTTAGACTTAGTCGCCAACACACCAGAATTGGTCTTATACGGCAATGATAAGTGTTAAAGCCAACGAAATTATAGCCTTGTTTTGGCTAAGATCGACTGATTCTTCTTCTTTTATTCAAGGTTAAGTAATAATTATATTTGTTGAAGAATGAGTTCCAGTTTTGAAAAATTAAAATGCTTCTAAAGATAAGAATTTCAAAAAATATTTTACTATTTTTATTGTCAAAACACAATCAACAACCACGCCAAATTGAGACTAGATCAAGTGAGAACTCGGGCTGCTGAGTACTGTATGTGGATTCGATTAAACGTTCGGCGGTTATAGCCTGATTGATACTTGCGGTTTTATCAAATAAAAAATACTGATTTAGGCTACCTATTGCCGAAACTGTCTAAACCTATTTAGCCCCAGTTATATGCCGTTGCACCATGAAACAATTCTGTCATTAAGATTCCTACAATATTTTTACCACCAACGATCCGATCCCATTCCTGTGCCACAGAATCCGACCAACAATAGATCGTTTGGCGGATCCTAAAATAACAACGAGTTACCAACTGGACTCTAACGATACACTAGTTCTGGCCGCAGCACCTGGACAAAATACTGTTTGTTATTGATTTTATTTTATCACAAAAACAAAGTGGTTTTAATTTGTTAAGAACATTTTGTTGGAAGAGAACCCAAAAACGCATTGCTGAAGTAGCAGTCGATAAAAGGCAAATTGTTAATGTAGATTAATTACTTTTATAGATTGCAATTCTAAGTTTGGGTAGGCCTACTACTACCGCTTTTTGAGTACCTACACGTTACGGGAACTATTTAACATTGAACGTAAACGGAGCTCAGCCATACAGTAATTTGAAACCGTTGTTTGACATTTCAGCAAAAACAAGTTTGCTTTGTACAGCAACTGAAGTTACAAGTGTTATTTTGAATATTTATGTGCCATAATAAGTAGGTACAGTAGTTATAAACACTGGTTGTAAATTACCGGGGTGTATCGAGGTGTTCAGGGGTGTATTACAGTAAATTGGTAGGCTTAGATTGATTAAACAAATAAAGAATACGTGAAGGATCGTCACTCACTATTCGTCACCTTTAAGAATTAGCATATCAGTTAGTTGATCATAAGAGAATACAGTATTTAATGACAGAATGGTTTGTAGTTGTTACGGTTTTAAGGTTGGCTGTCTTACTATGTTGAAAACAAAACAAGAATGAACACAACAGCTAATCTAAGTGTCTTATACGTAAAAATAAACACAATATATAGCTGAGTACGGTAAACTTTCAAATATTAAACAAAATTAAATGTTAGTAATATTTGTCAACACTGCTGTTACTCACCCCTGTTTTCACAACTACGGGTCTAGTAGCGCGCACCACTACGTATCGCGCCCTCTCACCGCCAAGCTACCGAACTAACTGCGTCAAGCCGTTGTTTCCAAAATAGGCGCGGGTTATTTCGGGGCCGCGGTGCGCCGTGCTGCGAGCCGAACATTCCCGTAGCCGCTACCCCAAGTCCTCGGCTCGAAACGAGGCATTGTTGAAATCAGCTGATCGGCAAATCGCGTAAAACACGAGATCAAAAATAGGCACCTCTAATGTTTAAAATACGTTGGTAAAATTTCCGATCGGTGATCACGGCGTTTAGACGTACTCTGTAAACAAAACTACTAACCCGTTCAATCAAACACAACAAAGCTGCAAGAGTTAAGAGTTAATAGTTACAATGTCACAAACGGATTAATAGCAGTGCGATATTTAGGGACAGGCTCATTTGAGGAGCGACTACGCCTACCACTGTTGCGAGCGTGCGCATGTTTTTATTTTGCCAGTGGTGTATCAATGAGATAAATATGCATAGTTATCTAACCACTAAATAGCTTGGTGGTTGATTTATTACATGAACTGACTGGAAGTCATAGCCCCTTAGTACAACAAACCAAACTAAGTACTTCGTTGTTTAAACATTCAACACTCTAATAGCACAATAAGGCAAACTAACCTAAGCAATCAATTTGGTTTTGTATAACTGTTTTAGCCTGTGTGAAAATCATGAGAATGGTTAAGACAAACAACAAAGAAGAGTACTTTGATTCTCTTCTAAATAAATCACCAGGATTAAACTTTCAAACTCAACATAGTGTTGTAAAATATACCTCTAGAGGAGATTTCTGTATAGTGTGTATTTGAATGTATGTATCTGTTAACCTAACCACATAAAAGTCAAAGCCCCCACCCGACCCACTCACTCATTCATTACTAATTCTCCAGCTTCCCGAATAAGTCGAAGGCTGAAATTCGGTAAACTTATTATTCAGGTAAAAAATGGGTAGCTTTCACAACAAGTTCATTAAGGGGTTGCACTCTACTAAAGTTACAATGTTATTATATTATTATTCTGTTCATGTTGTTACTATAGTTGTTGTTATTATTTTATTGCATTATTTTGTTGAATCCTATGTTGTTATTGTTATTCTTTTGTTATCGTATTTGTATTGTCATCAAGATTAAAAAGTTTATGTATTTTTATAGCTTGTAATTGTTGGTCCTGTAAAATGAGATTGAGATGGTATATGTATAAATGTTCTAATGATTGTGTGATTGTGTAAATTGTGTGATTATTTCTGTTAGATATAGTTGATTGTTGTTATGATTGCAGTGCATTATTGTCTAATTATTGTCGTTGTTATTGTTGGAATGCAATAGTCTGTAACAATTAATTTACACTGTCTTATTGTTTATTCTTTTCTGCTGCCATCAAAGTGTGTACCTACATTTTCTGTAATAGCGTATTTACGTTTATAAAAAAACCAAATGAACATTGCTTGTATATCTTTATCAACAATTTGGTATTGAGAAAGTCCGAAGTACAACACACTTTCTGAGCTAGCACTCTACTCTATTTCTAAAAAGAGTTGTCAAAAAGACCCTAAGTTGTCTTCATTACTTTCACAAAGCAATTGCCAAGACTGAAAATTAACTTCAAACAAAACATTGAAACATCCTGTAATGAATTGCTTTTGAAAATAGCAAATAGAAAACGGACACGTGGTTTGAACAGTGCCAAATAGTGTGAAACCCACACAAGCTGTGGCTTAAAGTGTATATTGCTATAGGCTACATACGTCAAACTATTGTATGACACATACTAATGTTAATTGTATTTATATTTCAATTTATTATTATTGAAGTACTTTCTAATCAAAAATTCATTCAAGTTTTGCCAGATACATGTTTGTGCAGTCTAATTTAACTTGGTACAACAATATAAAAAACTTCACTAGTTCTTAAGAAAAAAATTACATAATAACCCATTAAAAAAAGTGTTTTAGCAAAACGTTCAAGGGCTTCTTTTGTTGGTATCACGAACACAAACCTGATCCTGCTAGGTTAACTCAGTAAACCATCCAATTGTTCAACAAACTTCTAGGAATTTTGATGGAATAAACATCTCTGATAGAGCATATTCAACAGACAGATTATAGTTAGATTATAAAAAAAACTTTTGTATAAATATCATAGAGATTTAACTGCTATTAGGTTATACTACATTTTCCCTGAGCAAAGCTCTGTTCTCTTAAACTGTTTTGGTGAAACACCAAATGTTATAGTTTATAACCGTGTATCAACAGATGAAACTAACAGACAAAGTCAGTTTTATAGCATAGTAAAATTTGGGCTGACATCCTGGAATCACAAATTCCTAAAAAAAAACAAAAAAAAAAACATCAAACTAGATGGGCATTTAGATTCAGTTAAACCGTGTACAAAAAAAATTACAAATACCCCTGCCGCAGCAAACTTACAGACTAAGCAAATTTCCATTTGCCTGATTTGCTTTTCACTTGATCTAATTAAATAACATTAGATTTCAAGAGTACCTAGGTTTGCTGCTACAGGAAGGGTAATTCAATTAAATTTATTTGTCACAAAACTTCACAATACAGAAGCTGAAGATCAGCAAAATAAATATGTAAAATGCCAATACAAATCATGCATTATAAATAATTTACACGTAATAATAAAGTGTGTTTTTTAGTAAAATATTAAGAATAAAAGAAATAAATTTTATCAAAATATATCCATACATAAGCATACCGGTACTATAAGAGTTTTCTTATTCTCCATTAGAATAACATGAAAATTTTAAATTTACTTATTTTTGAATTTTCTCCATAATCAGTAACTGTGCAAAAACACTTTAATATAGGCTACTAAATTATTAGTTTTTCAAGTCTTGCCAAAAATTGCAAAATTTTATGAAATTTACTTAAAGGAGTAAAACTGTCTAGGAAAAAACAAAAACGACTTAAAACCCCAATTTAGTTTTCAGTGGAAATCTTTTTTAAGTAATCAATAAAAATCATTGTTGGAAAAATGAGCAGCGACAAATCGCTAATGAATTATTTAAGTTTTATCAGGGAATGAAAACAATGGATTACAATACAATTTAAATTATTTTAGATATAACTCTCAATTTTTAGGTACAACAAAAAGCGTTTAAAGTACTTTAAGGCGCTGCCTACGAATTGACAGGCAAAGCTCTCTCAAAGTACTTAACGCTTTTTACCATGCGGTTGGCATTCTGGGTTATAGTAGTATGTTTTCTGTGGTACAACCCACTTCACCCACCAACACAATATATAATTCTGTTCGCTTAATTCTGTTGTCCCAATTTTTAACAATGCAAGCAGAAATAGTAAAAATATGCTGGAGGTTTGATAATGGGCCTACTTTTGTTCAAAATCAACAAGATATCCTCTCTTGAAAGCTTATTCGTGAATGTGAGACTGTTCTTGGAAGGTGCCAATGACAGCTCATTTCACGTCACCCTTGGCCTGCCACCAAGGGCTCTCCTCGGCACGGCACCTCACTGCGCTATGGCACCATGGCCACACACTCTACTGGCTAACTCAGGTACGTAACTCACTACTTGACAAATGTTTCAAGCATACTTTAAATCACTCAGCAATTATTAATATTATCAGGGTTCAGTATGAGGTTGAGCACAAAAACAGTGGGCGAAGTGATTTTTATTTAAGGTATATTAGTAGTTTTAAACCAGCACTACTCACTACTGTTATTTGATTTTACTGCTCTTGTTTATTCTACAAAGAGAGTTTAGGCCAATAACACATTTTTCATTAGTTTCATAGTTTTAATGGTAGGTTACACTCAGTGGTGTATTGGGGCGAGAACTCGTGGCGATTCCACTATGCTTTTTACACCAATCCAATAAAACTTCACCACTGGTTGCACATATAATATAGAATACACATAGAAGTAGCCAGGGCCAGTTTATTTTTATAAGTAACATTTATGAACATTAAAATGTTTATGAAAGCCTTACAATTTTAATATATTTACGATTAATTAAATGTATTTGTATAAAACTTTATCTTGGATTGATAAAATTTTTCATTGATAGTTTACATTATGATTTGCAAGCAAGACACAAGCATAAATAGTTTATTTAATTTGATTTAAAGAAAAAAAAAACTCTTAATTGAAATTTAAAAAACACACACAAAGCTAAATTTAGTAAAGCCATTTATATATACACTAAAGCTAGAACCCCATTTTTGCTTTTAGAGGCATTTAATGTATGCAAAATTACAACATAAAAAGTATAGTTCATTTCAAAGTGGTTAGGTCCATTGATAAGACAGTCGACTTAACCTTTAAAACAGATATATTTTAGAATAATTGTAGGATTTTGTTTTTCACAATAACAAACAAGGCTTTTAGCAAGCTATTTTTAATTATAATTTTTTTATTAACTGAGATGGAGAAGAAACAAGAACAAGAACAAACAAGAAATGAATAGAAATAAACTAAAATTACGTTGACCTTATTGTAATGACCTTTGTTTTGGCTATGTGCATATTTTATCCCACAAATGAGTGAAGGATGAGTTTAGAATGGTGTGAGATAATGATAACACAGATTTAAAAAGCAATTTAGTTGCAGGAAATATATAGAAACTTGAATATAATCTATAAATTAATTGTCAAGCATGTTTCTTTAAAATCTTTTTTCTCAGCTCCTGTGTATCGCAGGGAAAATCTACGCATACTGTTAGAAAGATATTTTCCTGTAGATGTGCAGAATCTCTTTAAAAATTAAAATAGGCTCAAATATAAGCACAAAGAAATGAATTTGAAATTTAAAAAATTAACATGGGCTTTATGAGTTGCCATGCTGGTGACAAAATAACAACGAAATATAAACATAAAATCAAAACAAATGTAAGAAATTACAATCACATGTTTTATTTAGTGTGGGGGGGGAATAGAGAAGCCTATACCTTTGACTTAGAACTAGACATTCCATGTCCATGTTAAAGTTGTTGCCAGTTTTAAAATTAAATTCGTCGTAGATGACGTGAGCCACAAACAGATTGCTCTGATCTAAATGAATAATGTCTGTCGAATACACTATGCTTTTTACCAAGTCAAACTTCTGGAACGATGTATTATGAGCATTACAACTATGCAGTACAATTATTACAACTGTTATGACCCATGTACTTTGTCAGCAACAAAAATAGGTAGAAAATAGAATTTCGAACACACATTCTACTGTAACTGGCTTACAAAACTACACGTTTATTAATAAAAAAATGGCGACAGTTGGTCCATATAGATGTGTTGTTTCTGTACTTCGGTATCCAATAGTAAATGCATGTACATTACATATTTTTGGTCGAGTTTTCAACCACTGGACGACCACTAGTTTATCTTAAATCGTAGGCTTGAAAGTTCGATTAGTTGGCTAAAGATAAACTGAACAATACTATTTGCCGCCACAAACATGGTTAGTTGAGCTGGGCTGATTCCAATTTTTCTCTCTGCTCCTTTTAGGACGGCTGTGATATTTGGCAACTCATGTTCTACCTGAACTTCGTTGGGGTATAGTTACATGACTTCAAAATGAATACATTGCCCAATTCTAACTTAAAAGTAAGTGGTCAATACAATATTTGGACCTTATGATATTAGTTACAGTTTAACGATCTGATTCTATTACTGACAAAAACATCATATTGTGACATAGTAATTTCTTTATGTTTAATAAACTCAAACTACATTAGAGGGCTTGGCTGGAAAATTGTACCTACACTAAGAAAGATAATTGTTTGATGTCCAAAAATAGACTAACAATCCCAAATCGATTGTTGTAAATATGGAAACCTAATACTGTAATGTACTTAAATAAGTTCTAAAACCCAATCCCACCAGATGTTAGTTAACGTTATAGAGGAGAACAAAAATAAAATTTATACATTTTATCAAAATGCCCAAGTTTAAAAAACATTAAGTTAACTGATTGATGATCATTATAATAGGACAGCATAATTTAGATTTTTTTTGGAATAAAAGCTTTTTAAACCAATCTTAAATGTAACATTTTGTGTGCATAATGCGTTGAAAATCATGATCGAGTGACAAATAAGTTTACACAAAAATTAATAACCAAACTATAAGCTTAAAACAGATCTAATTGAATTTTATTTACCATGTTTTTCTTTAACATTTTTAATACTGTAATAGGGAGAATACAAAATTAAAGTATAAGGTATAAGTATTAAATTTAGCCTATTACCAACAAAAATAGATGGTTTTAAAAATAGAATTATAAAAAATAGAACATTTTACAAATAATTATAAAACTCTAGAGGTAAAGTAAACATTGGAAGAGTAAAGAGTCGTGCTAGTAGGTTCAGAGTAGTGCATCTCGTGGGCTGTCAATCAACTTGGCATGGATGTTGAGGAAACTGGTAAACAAAGGTTGAAATGGCCTCGGAGAACACCAACTGTTTATAGTCTTAAATTATCCTGCAGAGATAGAAATAGTCTGCGGCCTCTGCACGAGTAGCTTACTACAAAAGCAGTTCAAATGGATGAAAAAAAGGCTCTAGGCCAGAACTAGAATAAGAATAAGAAATAAGAATAAGTAAGAATTAAGAATAAGAAGTAAGAATAATTACATGAATTAGAATAAGTATGAAAGCAGCTAGCTTATGCCTACTTGAAGAAGTGTAGGTAGGCCATAGAGCATACTCGCAAACTCGTTAAAATAAATGTAGGTTTACACGTTTGTACCAAATTTTATCAAAATCGGATCATTTTTGCTCGAGTTGTCTTGCTAACTGACATATATATATATTATATGAATTTAAACGGATGGTGTTCTCTTAGGGACCTCAAAACGAAAAAGTAAATAAGTCCCGGGTCCAGGTCTTACCATGAGTACTACCGTAATAGCTTATTCCCTATATGGGAAATTCGCTAAAACGATTTCCAGCTTTCCCCCAATTTTTAGGAGCTACAGCTCTTTTTTGGGCTAATTTGCCTAGGCTAATACTGGTACACTAAATGTTATTCTAAGCATATTGGGTGTACTGAATTCAAAGTGTTGAGCAAGTACAATAAATACATGGTCTTCCGTTTTATCTTTATAGCGAGATCTAGACATCTAGTGACTTTCCTCGAACACAAGAACAATTTTAGGGGTCAGCTTAAAATTATAAAAATAAAAAAGTAACTTGAAGCTGATACTAAAGCACGGGTCACACTAGGCTGCTCGCCAGCGGCTGGCGCCAGCACCACCAAGCAGCGGCTTTTCACGGGTCACACTAGGCTGCTTGTCAGCTGCTGGTGACCAGCATCCGTGGGACCTCGTAACGAATACTTAAGTGATTATTGAGGATATGTGAGAACTGAGAAAGAACAGCTGTGAGGTTTTGCAATGGAACAACTCACTGTAAGCTGCTTCTTTAGCGTTCCTACTTCTTTTATGAAACGTCCCACAAGCACAAATAGTTTTGGAATAAATGTAAGAAATAAATAACCTGCTTCCCTGACCACTTAAACACGGTCATTTCCACTCTACTAATTACTACTTTTAATCGCCTAGTTTAAAGCTCAGTTCTTGTCACCATTTCGTGCGTGGGTCCTCATAAACCAGTACTTAATCGATTATTGAGGATGTGTGTAAAAGAGAAAGAGCTTTATTTCCCGCGAGAAGAGGCGTTAGTGGACCAGGCTTTGGATAACAAAAGAGCTTCTGCAAGCCGGTTATTGCAAAAATTAAAAGAAGAGGAATCAGAAACATACAACAAATGTTTTACGAATGTCACCACATATATTCCAAGAATTGCTAGAATTAGTTAAATCTTGAATTTAAAAAATTGAGACAGGTGCTTTTGTGTAAAACCAAGTTGAAAATTATCTTTGGTCGCCGCTGGCATGCTGCCCCTCGCTACCAAAAGTTGAACATGTCCGACTTCGCCAGCCGCTGAAAAATACTCGCCGGCTGGCGATGTCAGCTGCGAATGTTGTGGTCACACGCTGACAGTTGTAGCGGCTTCTTGAGCCGCGCTTTGGTGACCCGTGCTTAAACAGCTGGAATCACCATAGTTTATTGGTATTATACACTTTTTCTTTTATCGTTATCATTATCAATTGAGATGAGATTGGGACATCACCTATTGCTGCATATTTTAACCCAAATATGAGCAAAGGATGAGTTTAGAATTGAGTGAGATTATCTGTGTAGCTTTGTGCTCACTAAGCTAAGCAGTTTCATGAGCCAGGATAATTGCATAAGAGCTAGCCTGACCATACTACTGGACCGAATTACACACGGTTGGTACCAAATGAAACATATTTACCTGTAGATTTGCAGATTCCCTTTATAAATTAAAATAGGCTCAAAAATAAGCGCGAAAAATGAATTTGAATTTTTAAAAAATTAACATGGGCCTTATGGGTTGGCATGCTGGTGACAATAAACAACAAAAATAAACAGAGAGCATACAGAAAATACACTGTACACACAATATTTCGTGTCAAAGTGCAGAGAAAGTGGTAGAGAGTTTTTAAAAAACCATGCCGTATATGGAAAATTCTTGTAGTAAAAATATACGGCAATTCTTTTGTAAACTCTCTACCACTTTCTCTACACTTGACAAAGTCTCCCAGGGGGCGAAATATTGTGTGTGCAGTCAACAGTGTCTCTTCTGAATGTTCTTTTTGGCCTACCTACACTTTTTCAAGGCAAACTAGCTGCTATCCTCCTTATTCTGCAATTCACTGTTCAATTCGCAAAGGATATATTATCTGATGTTTCCATTGCTTTTTCCGATGATATATAGAATCGTCCTGTATTGAAATTACCTACTGATTATTAAAATAACTAAATCCTACTAATATTATAAATGAGAAAGTAGGTACCTATATAATTTGTATAATAATTAGATATTTTCTGTGTACTATATTAGGGACCAAAAAAAGTAGTAAGTTTTGTAGCTACGTATTATTATACCTCTTTGGTTTTTTGATGAGTATAAAAAATAATTCTTGTTCAACCATGATTAAATCACTATGTTTAATTTGTTTATTTTTATATTTTACAACTAGTAAATATTTTAACTAATAACAGAGATTAAAGCTGTTGGATTGATTAATGTTTTAGTATTCCTTTGAACACAATGAATCAATGTTGTGTTATACCATAGGTCAATGGAAAAATCATTATGTGATTCCATAGGAGATTCCATTTGAGATGCTTAATTGTGTTCAAAGACGGTGTTGGAAATGTTTGCGTGACAGTGAGGGGTTGTCTGTACGACATTCACATCAGCGGCAGAGAGCCAACGTTCCAACTACGACATTAGCTACGACTGACGGTCATTGGCTTACTGGTCGTCACGTGATCAACGGCAAAGACAGAAAGCAAAACATTGTCAAAACACATGATACAAACTTAATATTGCTGGAGAGAGGATGCAATAACTAATATTGGTATTTAACTTAATCTTAAAGATCTTGGATGTCAAATGCTTGTGAATATATGCAATATATTTGCTAAAAATCTATATTTACGCTACACAAAACTTTGTAGACAATAAGGCTTTTTTGTTTTAAGATGTAACCCCACCTATTATTTACCAAAATGTTCGTCTAGGTGTGTAGAATTGCAAACTGACCTTACATTCTTTAAAAAGTCCGTTGGGCTCTGCCCCAGTGGCTTTTAAAGTTCCCACGTTATCCTTATGAATAACATATTTGTTTACATTATGATCAGCCTGATAATTTATTTGCTGTTAATATTTTGGTTGCAATTTAAGGAAACATGTGCTACAACACATAGCTGTTACCCACGGGCTTCACCCCGTTAGACTTCAAAGTATTAATAAAACTATTGTTAAGCTGAAATAAACAAAACAGAATACAGTAATACAAACAAATAATCACACCTGAATTTAATAAGGTAATAAATTGAAAGAATAACAAACAAATAAGTACAGCTGGGGTATTTTTGACATTATCAGGTAGGTATATAAAAAGTTCCCTTTAGAAAGGAAATACGACCAAAGGGAAATTTATGAATTACTGGATAGTTTTGCGCAAGGTTTCTCGTCATGATGAACATTTTAATTTATGGTTTTGGGGGTGTGACTTGTATTTTTCTCAAAAGTTCATGGGTACTTTTGGATGGATTTACTGACTTGGTTGAAATGGAATATTTTACTATTTGAACTAGCTGTTACCCACGGGCTTCACACAGTTTGACTTCATATAAGTATTAATAAAACTATTGGTTGGTTAAGAAGCTGAAATAAACAAAACTGAATACAGTAATACAAACAAAAAATAATCACACCTGATTTTAATAAGGTAATAAATTGAAAGAATAACAAACAAATAAGTACAGTTGGGGTATTTTTAACATTAGGTATATGGAGAGTTCCCTTTAGAAAGGAATTACGACCTTAAAGGGCAATTTATGAAATAATGGATAGTTTTACGCAAGGTTTCTCGTCATAACAAACATTTTAAGTATATGGTTTATGGGGGTGTGACTTGTAGTTTCCTCAAAAGTTCATGGGTACTTCGGGATTTATATATGGATTTGGGTTGGCGTAAATATTACAATGGAAAAAAATGAGAAGGCC